CTTAGAAAAAAATGACAAGGGTCTGAGTGATGGCACTGGGGCTGTGACTTACATGTCAGGAGTTGCTGCCTGGATCACTTCCTTCCAACTCCACCTGGGACCAAGAGAGGAAGGACTAGGAAATTCAGGTTCCAGTTGGCAAGGATGAACAAGCTGCTTTAGGCAGTATGGTAGAGGGATGGCAGGGATGTCCCTCCCACACCACCTAACTCTAATGGTGTGACCTTGAGGACCGTGAAGTGTCACCTTCTTCTGCGTCCTTAGTGAAACCGATCACATTTTGCCCTGAAATCAGCCTGCATGGCTCCTTACTCAAGCTGAGTATGCAAAACATGATGGGGGTAAGGCGGTGAGTGGTGGTGAGGCTGGTGTTTTCACCCAAGGTAAGTCAAAGTTTTTTTAGATTTCCCATGGTGTTCAAAAGGAGGAAGATATTTGAATACATGTTTGCCATTTACCATGCATTTATTTTCCTCCTAGATTTCGCTTCAAAAGTTGATTTTGAAAGTACCTGATTTACAAAGAAATAAGGTAGTTCCCCAGCCTGGGAATGAGCCACACTCTAGGACTATGGTGTTGATCCCCTAGGGACCTTCACTTGGCAGGATGGAGTCCAGGCTCCTCAGTGGGACTCCTGATGCCCTCAGTCCAGGCTCATACCACCCCTGCTCTCCAGCCTCAGCCCTCCCCTTGCCTTTCTCGGTTAGAGTTTTACACTTAGTAACGTTGAAACCAGGCAGTTTCACACTTCAATGCCCTTGTTTATGCTAATCTGTCCTCCTGAAATACCTTCTCCCAGCTCCCCTCCTCTGTCTGGCTAATTCCTGCTCTTTCTCCAAGACCCAGATCTTTGTGACACCCTCTTCCACCCAACATATACCCCTCAATATAGCCGTCCCTGCGAGTCATCTACCCCCATGTCAATCTTAATTGTTGTTGGAGCACTTAAATTATACAGAAAGTCCATTTATGCGCCCACTCCCCACCAAAAACTTGATCAGAAATTCATCAAAGGCAGGGTCTATGATACTAATAGTTGTTTCTCTACTGCCTGGCACATAGTAGGAGCTCAACAAATACTTGCTGAACTAAACAGAATCCAGAAGACGGGGCAAGGCCCTCACATGTGGATCTCATGAGAATTAATAGACCCACCAGCCACTCCTCGGAAGGAAGGTTGGGCATTTCTACTTCCGTAGTGATACTGCCTCGGAAACCCAAGGAGGGGTCGCTATGAGTCGGGGCCGACTCGATGGCAAATAACAACAACAACAACAAGGTCGATGTCAGTGGTTTTGGTTTTTGGAAGGATTTTCTTATTGGTGTTTTTAGGACAGGTGACTTTTAAAGAAGGAACTCTGGTGGTGTAGTGTCCAAGGCATTTGACTGCTAACCAGAAGATTGGTGGTTCAAACCTATCAGCCACTCCACGGAAGGAAAACTGGACAATCTACTTCTGTAAAGATTTACAACCTCAGACACCTAGAGGGGGTCACTATAAGTTAGAATTGACTAGATGGCAGTGAGTTTGGTTTGGTTTTGGTTGGACTTTTAAAGACTCAGTAAGAATGTGACACCCCTCCCCCAAAACCAAAATAAATTTAACGAGTAAACTGGAGGTGATTATTTGCATCTCAAAAGGTTGGAGGGGGCAGTTTTCTTTTAAACATTAAGCCCTTGCAGGACCTTTCAGAATCTCACTTTACAGATCATTAATTTCTGAGGGGAGGGGAGAGGGCAGGAATCATGGAGAGATTTACCTTTAAAAGTCTGAGCTCCGAGATCCATCTGAAAAGAAGCAAGGCGGAAGATCTTACAGTCGGACAGAATTGGGTTCAGGTCCAACTGGACTAGCTGTGTAGCCTTGGGCACCCTGATTTCCTTATCCCTGGCAGCACAGTGGTTAAATGCCTGCCTCAGAAACCCAAGGAGGGGTCTCTATAAGGCCAGGCTCCATGGCACATAACAACAACAACAAAGTAACCAAAAGTTGGTGGTTAGAACCCACCCAGTGGTCTGTGGGAGAAAGCCCTAATGATGTGCTCCTGTGAAGATTACAGCCTAGAAAACCCGATGGGGAAGTTCTACTCTGTCCCACGGGGTCACTATGAGTAAAAGTCAACTAAATGACACCCAACAACAAAGTAGGGATAAATAACACCTACTTTGCAGGGTGGTTGTAGAGGTTTAAGAGACTCTATGTGAAGTACAAAGGAATTCTGGTGGCACTGTGGTTAAGGCTGCTAACCTAAAGGTCAACAGTTCAAACCCACTAGTTACTCCAAAGGAGAAAGATGAGGCAGCCAGCTTCTGTGAAGATTTTTAGCCTTGGAAACCCTGTGGGGGGTCACTATGAGTCAAAATTGACTCAGTGGCAGTGGGTTGTTGTTTATGTGACACACAAGGAGCTGTGGCAGTGCACTGGATAAAGTACTTGGCTGCTAACCCAAAAGGTAATTGGTTAGAACTCAGCAGCTGCTCCATGGGAGAAAGATGAGGCAGTCTGCTTCTGTAAAGATTTACAGCCTTGGAAACCCTATGGGACAGTTCTACTCTACACTATGAGTTGGAATCAACTTCAAGGCAACGAGTTTGGTTTGGTTTGGCTTTATGAAACACCTAGCTCATAGGTGATCCCAGGTAATAATAACAGTATTGTAGTTCGGTTTGACACTACACGTGGAGGACAGGAAGGAGCCGTGTGTGGTTTTCAGGATTTTAGCTTGGATGGCAAGAAAAAGGAAGAGAGAAAGACCCAGAAAGGAAGGGCCATGCCAATGTGGCAGCACATTTTGAGAATCTGAGTACTTCATTTTTCTGACAAATCCTTGGAATTTTCTTTTTTTAATGAAATATTTCTTTAACTAGCAAGATACTGTGACAGTGACAGCACTGCTGATGTGATACCTTGGGCACTACAAGACCTGGCAATTACTGGCTCTATGATCTCAGGTAGATCATCTAGACTCAGTTTCCTTATCTGTAGAAAAAGAATGGCAAATAGCATCCATGTCTTAAGGTTGCGCCATGAGATAAAACATTTAAAGTGCTTTGCTCAATGTCTAGCGCACAGTACACCTCCATAAATGGTACCAGTAACTAGATTGCTAAGTAATCAATACCAGTAAACAGATGATGCTAAGTGCCATGTTGAACTCCTTGCTCTGGAAGGGGAAAGGACATCACTGGCCTCAGACTGGAGGCCCACCTGTCACCAGGATTGTGTGTCCTTGGGACGGTACCACAGAAGTTTTGTCCCAGATAATCTCTCGGGTTCCTGAATTAGCCCAAAGCTGAGTTACTCCCACTTCCCCTAAAAGCACTCTCAGGCCTGGGAGCTTCTGCCCAGATTCTGCAGGTAACTCCTGCTCACTCAAGTGGCGCCTTCTCTGCAAGCTTTCCTTCCCCTCCTGCCTTTTCTAAGGGACTTAGCACATTGTGTACTCCTTATTGTTTGTGTGCTGTCGCCTAGATGGTGACCATAGTGCATGAGTACAAGTAAAAGGGCATCCCGTGCTTGAGAGCGAAGTGCGTTGGCTGAAGGAAAATCGAAAGAGCACTTTCCCTTTGTAGAGGTTTCCGGAATCTCTTGGGTCCTAACTCTCTTATTGCTTCCTGTCTTATGTCGAAAAGTAACTTTGGAAATAGGTGAGGCTCAGTCATCTCCCTCTGAGCGGAAGAAGAAAGAAAGCTCCACTGGCTTGGACCAAGCCCTTTACTGCTTCTTCCTCCCTGGTCTTGAAAAAGTGCCAGTCTCTTCAGGAGTCCTCAGGACCCTGGGAACTGGCACCCTTAGCAGGACTGGATGAAGGAACCAGGTCCACTACGGTCTTACCCTCGACCCTCTAGAAAGCATAAGTAAATGACCTTGACCTCCCAGGAAACTCTCCCTGGGGCGATGGAGACTGCGCCCAGAGGGGGCGAACCTACTCCTCTGGAAAAGTTGTCTAAACAAAGGGCATTCCTTAGTTTCCACCCCCCAATAACCGAGCCTCCTCCCGCCAAAGCCCTGGGTGTAGGGTTACAGGCCGCCCCGCGAAGCTCAGCAGGAACGTGGTATTTTCCTAGCTTTTGCTCCAGTTGAGCCGCGCATCGCACTGCTACGCTCTCCCCTTCCCGGCGCTCGCGGAGGATATAGGGGGCTAACCCGGTCCCTTCACTTTGCAACAGCTGGTGCCTGCGCTTTTGAGTCAGCTGTCCTGTCGGGAAGGGGTTAGCTCTTGCGCCTGCGAAAGCGGCCCGCAGCTTCTGAGCGCAGCGAGTCCCCCGTGCCGGGCGCGGCTGCAGGACCCGGGAGGCGCAGAACCAGGCCGGCGGGCGCCGAAGGCGAATGGGCCTGTAGTTCCCAGACTTGGGGCCGGTTCCTCGGTTTTCCTCCTGCCCCATTGACGTCTGTGAGGACCTCGCGCCCTCGCCACCGCGGGCGCGGACAGAAGCACCTCCACTTGACTGGGCCTGGACGGACTGGGGACCTGCAGGCGGCAGCGAGGGCAGAGGGGCCACGAAGGCCGAGGGGTGAGGAGAGGCAGAGGTCCCCGCTTCTCCAGCCCCTTCCGCTCTCCCTCCTCCTTTTCTGCTCTCCTGTTCCCTCTCTTCCCGCCCCCGGCCTTGAAAGGCGCCAGCCTTGGCCTCTCTTCCCATAATGGCAAAGTCATGAACTAGCAGCCGATGCCACTTCCTTCTCTGCCAGCGCCCTCCCTCTCCCGACCCTTCTCCTCCTCAGACTGGGAGGGAGGCCACGGCCCGCGGGACAGCTGCTCGGGCCGGACCCACCCAGGGCTGGGGAGCTGCCCGGAGAGCCGGGAGCAGAGCCCTGGCCTTGGCCCTGCCTCCGATCTCCGGCCGGGCGCCCCCCGAGGGGCGAGGCCTGCGGACTACGTTCCCGGAGACCCCGGCCGGAGCCCGCCTGCCCGGGCTACGGCTCTGCAAGTCCCTCCCTGTACCCTGAAGCGGGCCTGGGACGGAGACAGGGCTGGAGGAAGGTTTCGCTTCTCGGAGGGATGGAAGGGATGGAGGAGGAGGCAGCGGCAGCGGCAGCGGTCAAATCTGCCGGCGGCAGCCCTCAGTGAGTATGGAGTGAGTGTGGAGGAGGTGGCAGGGCCGCAGAGCGGCTCGGGAACCGGGCCTTCACTGTCACACAGACGGGAGGGTCGTGGAGGAGGCCCGCCTTTCTCGTCCATCTTCACTTGAGCTTGTCTAAATTAGAGCAAACATGGTACTTGAATCAGAATCAGACGGCTCCAAGCAGAACAGTATTCCCGATACGTTAACCCAATAGGAAGGTCTCATTCTTTAAAGTCTCGGGAACTGGATTATTACTGAAATGCTGGTTCCAGACTTTAAACCGCCAAACAGATTTTAAAATCTGACTGAAATTGCTCATGTTACTTTCCAACCCCCTGTTTTCCCAGTTGGTCCATAGAAAAGGGGAATAGGTGGCTGGGCTCCAGAGAGAAACTTGGTTAATTCTAGATTAGTGATCTCTGTTGGGGTCTTCAGGAGTATAGTCCCAAAGATAGGCATTAAGTTTCACTGACTTAAAGCTGATGGGACATTTTAAACGACATGTGTGTTTAGCTTTATAAATACATGTACTGTGTTCCTGAAAAGTAGTGTATCAATTGAATGGTTATAAATGACTACAGAGGGCTTGCCATTTCAAAGAATTCATGGTCAATTCTCAGTTTTTGAAGTAAATGACTCCTAATCTATCTGTTATGTAAATATGAACTTTTATTCATGCAGTTTCGTTTAAGTGGGACACATCTACATATATGTTTAAGTGGTCTTCCCTTAGAAAGCAGAATAGACAGTAAGACGTTGTGGCATGTATGTATATGCACATGACAGCAACACTCTGTGCTCACTATCATTCCCTCTCAAGACATTAATGTCAACCATGCCACTAATGAGGAGCTCTGGTAGTGCAGTGCCTAAGGCACTTGACTACTAACCAGAAGGCTGGAGGTTCAAACTCACCAGCCACTCCTTGGAAGGAAGGTTGTGCTATATGAGTCAGGTCTGACTACATGGCACATAACAACAACATGTTGCTAATGAGCTGTGAAATGCTACCAAATCACTTGACCTCTCTGGACCCAGTCTTCTCATCCACATCTGTGGGAGGTGAGGTTAAATGACCATCGCTTTGGAAGAAACTTGGGCCTGGAATGAGAAGCTTCAGGTTCCAAACTGGGCCTCCCCTTAGTACCTGTGTGATGCAGTCACCCTGAGTCTTTGTGTAAAATATAATCTGTAAAATGGGAAAATACCATCCTGGCAGAGTTATGTGAGGATTATTCGAGAAAGTGTGTTTGAAAACACTTGCAGATGCCTCGGGGGAGTTAGCCACTGATCCTGGCCATCCTTTAAGCACTGTCCATGCTGTGGTCTTGTGGCTTGGGCACTCGCCCAGGGGTGAGGTTACGATGCAGCACCTTCCATCAGAATTAGAGGCTGCTTGGCATCTTCCTAAAGTCCATCATCCACACAGCTCCCCTTGGAAACGGACTATTAGCAGATGTAGATATCCTTCACTGAGACCGCTCTTCAGCAAAGCCAGGGATTAGAAAATCTGGCCTCATTTCATTCTGGTCCTCATCTGACATAGGATTAGCTGTCATTTGAAGCTTCATTTTGCCCCATCTGTAAAATAGGAATAGGAAAACTAGAATACCACTCAGATTTGGAAGAAAAAAGTCAATAATTTATACTGTCCATTGATTTGTACTTTTCAGTGTGCATTCATATTGTCTGGAGGGCATCCCCACCTCTGTCCCCAGGTTATTTTCATCTGAACAGGGCTCAAGATCCAGGGTCTTTGGGAATCCAGGAAGTTGCTGGAGGTACCCCTGGGTCTCAAGAGCTCTCTCTGTTTTCTTCTCAAGAGGGCCCAAGATAGTGACCAGAACAGCCAGCCCCATGAAAGTGACAGCTGTGGAAAGAAGTGGACGGGAGCAGCAGCCGGATAATGGTCACCTCCCAAGGCCCTGGCTGTGCCCTCAGGAAGATGGAACACCCAGCCTGATGGCCCCCCAGCCTCCCATGGCATGGAGGGTGGAGGTCCAAGGCCCCTCCGTGCTGGAGTTCAAGGTGAGAGCCTTGAAGGAGAAGAGAACAGCAGGCAAGCAGGGGGCAAGCCCTGGCCCCACCTCTCATGAGCACTCATCCTCCAAGAAATCCAAATGCAGACGGGTCAAGGGAGGTGGAACCGGGGCCTCAGCAGAGGGCTCTTCCCTGCCAGATACGTTAGTAGTTGCCCATGCTCACAACCTGACTGATGGGCAGCTGGACGATAGTGTCAATGATGAGGAACCTCCAAGGAACGGGTGCCCCAGAACCCCCAGGCCACCTGCCCCGGGGGTGGAGTGCTGGAGCAGGAGGAGCCCGTGGCCTCTGGAAGCAGCATGGACGCTGCCTGACCATGAGAGAGGGCTGCTGCCAGGGCCCAGCTCTTTGCAAGAGAGCCCCATCCACAGGGCTGAACCAAGCTGGCCAGGAGGTCCCGAACCTTGTAACAAAATCACCCACATATCCAACCTGAGGAAGGGAAGGTCATATCCCCTTCAAGATGGTCTGGCTACAGGAGGAGATGTAGACAGCACCTCCCTGACCTCTGAGGAGGACTTGGTCTCCAGGACACCTTTGCTGGGGGCACTCTGCAGACCTGGCGACCTGGGGATCCTGGGTACTGGGGGCAGTGCCTTGTCCCTGTCTGATCGGGTGGAGAGGAACCGTCTTCTGCTGCAGGAGATGCTGAGTGTTTCGGGACAGGGCCCCCCCAAGGCCTGGAGTCCATCCTGGGACCAAGCTGTACCAGGTGAGGTTCCCACTGAGGTCTAGGTGGCAAGGAAGGGGAAGGAAAGGAGGAAGTTCAAAAGAGAGAAACAGGAAAGGGGTGCCTAGGGAGAAGGGGCGGGAAAGGAGGGTGAGCACAGTTGCCTGTCACCAAAATCATCCGAATGGCTTCTTGGCTTTGACATAAATTCTTTATCACCTCATAGGCAACCCTGTCTGCTGAAGAAACCCATGACTACCCAAACCAATGAGAGGCCACCCTCTGGGCTTGGGTGTGGGGCTACCATGAGTTCCTTCCCGTGGCTTGTCCTTTCCACAGTGGCTTTTGCATTTCCTCTCTGATGGCATGCCCTCACCCCTAGTGGACCTCATTGCCCTCTTGGGCTGGGGCAAGCAGGCAGGTGCTCTTCCCTACAAAGGGGTTGAGTGTCTTATCAACTGAGCTGAGTTCTACCAGTAGCACTACTCGGATGTGCAAGTGCACCTAACTGGGAAGACAGCCTCTTTCCCTCACTTTTTCCCCATTCCAAAGGCTCATTCCATATCCTACACCTGAGAGGCCCCAGGTAGTCATGTCAGCCCTGGCAATGTCCACCAGAGGTCACTATGACAGTGTGTTTTCACTTCTCTGGCAAAGACACAGGCAACAGGATTTATCCCTGGGGTTAATTGCACCACCAGAACTCCTTCAGTATTCATAAGTGGGACAAAAGCCTAGCTTCTGGCTCTGTCCTGACCTCTGTTTCTGTTCTAGAACAACCAGCAGGGGATGTGGACTGGGACTCAGGTATCTCCCTGCAGGACTTGGATCAGAACAGGTAAGAACTCAGAACACACGTCTTCTGCTCCATACACACACCTCCTCCTAATCTTCTCCATTCACCCAGTACCACCAGGCTGAGGAGGAGTAGACTCAAGGTGGGAGTGAGAGCTGTCTGTAGCCTGAGCCTTGGCTGGGGCTTTCCCAGAGGTAGGCCTCGGCCTCAGTCTTTGCCCAGCTCCTGGCTCATGAGGCTTCGAAAGGTCACAGAGCTTGGAGCAGCTCTTGTTTCCCTAGCTGTGTGGTGATGTTGCTCTCCTCAAGGTCTCGTGGTTTCTGCAGACCACAGAAGTCAGTATATTGCTTCACTTTTCAGGTGGCTCCCTGCATAAATTCCACTCAGTTTGACTACTCTTTGGGAGACGTGGACAAGGTCCCTCAGTCCTGCATCCTGCTTTAAATAAGCAGGCCCCAGATTGAGGCGATTCAGCATCTGTTCTATTTATTGTCCTCAGAGGCTCTGGCCCAGGTCCTGTGGGGAGAAGAATATTGGCTCCTTCCTTCCCTCATAATTTATAGTTTGGAAACATGGTTGCCTCCCCTTCTGCCACGCATCTCTTCTTCCACCTCCATGGCGAGTATTTTCAGCCTCCTGCCACGTCCCCACCTAGCCCTGCCTGTGTTGAGGAGGGTAAGCACAGAAAGAACTGTGGTTCTGAAATGCTACTGCTCCCTCTTGGACTTCACATCTCTCCTCTGCCTCTTTCCCTTGTGGAAAAGGAGGAGGAGAAGGTTGAGGTGGATGCAGCTTGCGTGCTGCAGCTGCTCTTCTGCACACACGAGGCCCAGCAGGAAGGTGAGGATGCCCCTGGGGATTTTGTTCAGGGGCCACTATTGAAAGGAGAAGCCAAAGCATCTGACCCATGTGTTGAATAATGAGTAACAAAAACCACCCATTTTAAAGCAGAACCTCAAATATGAGTGTGCAGGGGCTTTCCCTTAGTCCTCTGAGGAGATGCCATTTGTGTAGAATCCTCAGTGTCCAGGCTGGTGTTTCTAGACAATTGTTTAACTTGCCAGGTCATGTGTGGCAGTCACCATCATTTTAGGGTTTGGGTAAAATGTGTATGTGTGTGTATGATGTGTAGGTTTGTGTGTAAGGATATGTTTATATGTAATGGTTGAATATGTGTGTGTGTGTGTGTGTGTGTGTGTCTGTGTACATGAGAGAGAAGTTACCCTAGTGAGCTTTAGGACGCTGGTCAAAGACTGTTAACAAAAATGTCCCCCATAGAATGCCCAGCAGACCAGGACATAGAATTGAAGTGGGAAAATCTTTGTCCTCTTGTTTGCTGGGAAAGTAATTTGGAGGGCCCCGCTGATCTCTGTCGGTGACCTACAGTCAGATCCTTGCTGAGTGCACACCTAAGCTGAAGGGCCAGAGAATGCATCTAGACATAAGGATGGGAGAGAGGCCAGCTGTGCCTTTGTGCCCTCTGTCTGATGGGGCTCTGCATTTGGTCTCTATTCCTGAGTCTTCTGGAGAGGTATTAAAGTGGTCCTCAGTCACTGCAGTATGCCATCTCTCCTATAAGTGTCATGGCCTGATTGATTCCATTTCTGTATAGCCCAACTTCTCAAGAGACCTTTGGAAAAAGGCACAATTCCCTCAGAGCTGTAGACCCTGGAAGTGCCACGTGGGACCAGAGTCCTGGGGCTTACTGTCTGTACTGAGGGACCCTGGGCAAAAGAGCATACTGAGGCTGTGGCTGAGCGTGGTGATGGACATCCAGAGGGGGTCCCAGGACACCAATCAGGACATGCTGTGGCAGGGGCAAGGGGCAAAGTCTGATTCATGGGCCACTCGGTCCCTCAGATTTCAGGTCTTGAGAAATAAATGGTCCTACTTCATACTCAGTCAAGTTTAACATTAGTTCAGTGTTACAGTAACATAACCCTTTTGACCAAGTTAACTCAACATGTATTTAATTATGTCCACAATTGTTACTGCTTTGCTTGGTAATAAAACAAGAACCTTGTGAAATGACAGTGGTTGCAGGGCCGAAGACAGTAGTCAGGGCTGTGGGGCTAGCCGTGCTTGTCATGGAGTAGTCACAGGTAGGAGCCCTGATAGTACAATGGTTGATTACTTGGCTGCTAACCAAAAGGTTGGCAATTGAAACCCACCCAGCAGCTTCATGGGAAAAAGACCATAAGATCTGCTTCTGTAAAGATTACAGCCTCAAGAACCCTGTGGGATAGTTCTACTTTCACATGGGCACACTATATGTCAACAGCACCTAACAAGTATAAAACCATAACAGTAGTCATAGGGAGAGTTGGCCAAGTGGAGCATGAGACACCCAAGATCCTGAGGGAACACGAGAAAATGACCCAAAACCTGACATGCCAAGGGCTAAATGTGAAGGAGACATCCACACTCCTGACCCCAGGCTTGTCCACAAGAGAAGGCTTGGTCCTGGAGGACTGGAATAGCCCCAATGGCTAAGTCTTCCCTCCACAAGACCTTGCCAACAGCTGCCACATCCAAGCTCTTACTATGTGCCAAATACTGTGCAAGTGCTATAACTGCGTTCTCATTTTATATTCATAAAAATCCCACAGATGAAGAGACCTTTCTGAGGAAAGGTTGAATGACTTACCCAGGGTCATACAGCTATTAAGTAATGGAGCCACAATTTGGGCTCACAGCTGCTTGGCTCCAAAGGCTCCTCAACCATTATGTGGCATTGCCACAGACTGTACTCTTTATGCTTCACAACGCCACCCCTTGGGTTAGGAGTCTGAGGGCCTTCTGGCTTCCCCAGCTAGGACTGTCCTCAGGTATAAGTAAAGAAGAGCAGGTGATAGGCTCGTGGGATAAGCTGATTTCCCTCCTCAGTCATTGTTGAGATGGATTCAGGTAATAGGGATTTGGTTTGAGGAGAGAGGATGGGGTAAGAGGTAAGTGCTTTAGAGAGGGCAACTAGGTGTTGGTTCTTGTATTAGTTTCCTAGGGCTACTGTAACAAAATACCACAATGAGTGTGGCTTTTTAAAGAACAAAAACTTACTGCCTCCCCATTCTGGAGACTAGAAGTCCCAATCAGAGTGTTGGGTATGCTGGTTCCTTCTGAGGGAGGGCTCTCAGAGAAGAACCGTTACATGCCTCTCTCCTATCTTCTGGGTGCTCCCAGAAATCCTTGGTGTTCCCGAGCTTGCGCCTCCATCTGCCTCCATCATCACACACTGTCCTTCTTCTGTTTAGATCTGTCTCTGTGTCTCTTCTCTTATGAAATGCCCCTCAGATGAGATTAGGACCCATCCTACTCTGATATAATCTCATGTTAATTGGTAACATCTTCAAAGACTATTTCCAAACTAGGTCTTGTTAACAGGTTCAGGAGTCAGGACTTCAACCTATCTTTTGGGAGGACACAATTCAATGCATAAGAGTGCTGTAGGCAGCTGTGTTCATGGGCCATGTCTGGGAACTAGACTTCTTAGAGATAGTAGAAGGGAGAAATGAAGCAGACGTTGTGCTCAGAGCTGTCCCACCCAAGGTTGACCCCTCACTCCTATACAGATTCTCCACCCCTTCTGGTGCTCTGGATTTTACCTCTCTGTAGAATGGCCATGACCAGCTCAGCCTCTTTCCTCACTGGTGGCTCCAAGACAGCATATCAGGATTACAAATGGCCTTGGGCCCCCAAATTAATACAGCATAAGCTAAAAGTATGTGAAATCAAAGGAGCGGCAGCAGTCAATACAATTTTCAGATGAGGCTGTGTTCCCAAAGGAAGTGGGCGTTCAATGTTAGGTTGCTGTGGGTACCAGGGCAGCTCTACTGAGTCTCCAGCACTTTTTTTGGCAGTTTTGTTTGAGAACCAGAGCTGCAGGATCCAAGCCTGCTCTGTTCAAGTCAGGATCCCCTGTGTGATCTTGGGTCCCCCAGGTTCTGAAGTGTGTCTCCAGGGCCTTTGATTATTAGTCTGCTGCAGGAATAATAAGGAGAAGAGTGTCTCTGGGATTTTGTTACAGTCATGCTAGAATGGTGAGGGAAGCTCCAAGGATTTTCTAGATCATGTATCTGCCCCTCCTGCCTGTGGTGGAATCAAGCCCATTTAAGAAACAGAAGCTGAGGGCCAGTCCCTAGTGTGCCTGTGAGGCCCTTCAGGAAGCCAAGTTATGTGTTCATGCAAAGAGAGGGGACAGGGAACCAGCATAGTAGGCCAGACTTTTGTGGGTCCCAGTTTTCAGGCCCCTGAAGTGATTGCTAGGAGTCCCTGGGTGGTACAAATGGTTAACATGCTCGACTATTAACCGCAAAGTTGGAGGGTCAAGTCCACTTATCTGATGGAGAAGGAAAAATGTCAGCACTGAACCTCTACCACAAAGCAAGCCCTGGAACCTTTAGACACACTTTAGCATGTAATTGTCTTACTCACATACACACCACATGCCAAAATCTCATTATGGTCCCAATCTTTATGAACAAAGGGGCTCAAAAAAGTTAATTGCCCAAGATCATTCACCTGGTGGGGGGTGAAGCTAAAATTCAAGACCTAGAAACCTTCCCTACCTGCACCGCCTCATGTTGAGCAGACCACTGTGCCCCCATCTGGGGGTGCCTTGGACACCTGCCTCCTCAGGCTGAGGCCAGGGAGTGCTAACCAAAGGGGCAGCCCACGGCCTCCCTCTGGGACTCCATGGGGCATTTGTTAGTCCTCTTCAAGAAGGCAGGGACCAAGGCACCCTGCTGTCCCGGAAAGAGGTCATTGTCTCAGGAAAGCTCTGGACACCTCCTCCCAGTTCCTTTTTAAAGGTGCTAAATGAGGCGGCTCCTAACAGGAGCCATTCTTACAGAAGCTCTGCTGAGAGAGGGCCTGTTTATTGTCTTGGCATCAGCTTCCCTGTTACCAAACAGCCTCCTCCTCCCCGTTTGATAGTGACTCATGTTAGGGGTATTGCCTTTTGTGTGGAGCTCTGTCAAAGGCATTTCAAAGTCTAGAGCAAAACCACCAATCCCTCTCTAGCTATAAGATGGTTTATCACTTTCAAACGCCCAATATGCTGATTAAATATGCTTCCCTCTGCTGGAAGTCCCTAGGTGGTGCCAGTGGTTAACACACTTGGCTGCTGACCATAAACTTAGAGGTTCAAGTCCACCCAGAGACACCTCAGAAGAAAAACCTGTCAGTCTGCTTCTGAAAATATCAGCTATTATAAACCCTCTGGAGCCTAGTTCTACTTTGACACACATGGGGCTGTCATGAGTCCAAATCATCTCAATAGCATTTGGTTTGGGTTCCCCTTGCAGACCACAAGGTGATCTTGGCAGGTGATTTTAGTTAATGTTCAGGGACTCCATCCTTCCCTTTGTAAGGGGGTTAACAAAAACTAATGATGATGATAATATAAAAATCTAGAGTGGTAATAGTAATAATGAATGCTAATACACATGGAATCCTACCAAATGACCAGCTCCATGCTAAGCTCTTTAAGGGTAACAGTCTCACTTATCTTAAAGACCACTGAGCCCTACTTTAGCAGATGTGGAAATTGAGGCTTAACCCCTAAGTAACCTGTCCAGGATGACACAGTAAGTGGAAGTTCAGGGGTTAGAACCTGGGTGGGCAGCCCCCGTACCATGCTTTTAACCATCCCTCTAGCCTTTCCTTGTCAGTGCCCTGGACTCCTTGGTGTAAGGCTCCTAGGCAACCAAGCATAATAGTGAGTCTAAGATAATTTTCCTGCCTTCATAGAGCACATGATCCTGAGTCACTTCTGGCATACCTTTTCCTCATGTGCTCACTAGAGGAACTGTGCATAGTGCCAGAGATATTCTATCCTTGGTTATCACAAAGCTTTATAGTATATAGAAGTGGATCTAATGCTAAGCCAAAGGGTTTATATATTTGTTGTTAGGTGGTGTTGAGTTGATTTCAATTCATAGCGACCCCATGTGACAGGGTAGAACGGCCCCATAAGGTTTTTGTTTTTCACCATCAAGGGATTTATTGGGGAAGTAACAGGTTACAATTCAGGTTCAGGAATGCTCTTAGGACACAATTCTTCCATCGGGACAGCCTCCCCTCAGCCATGCCCTCAGGCATCTCCCTGGACTTTGGCCTCTCCACCTGGCCTCTACCTGCTTGGGCAAGTGTTACAGAGTTTTTGTAGCTCGCCAAGAGGGTCACCTACATGCATCCTGCTCCACTAGCCAGTGTCCTGCCCAAAGGCATTCAGCTTTCTTGTTCTGTGGGCCCGCAAGCCTGCGTCTCTGCGTTGTCGTTATGCCTCTTGGTTCCTCTACCCTTATCTCAGCTGGTCATCTCAGCCAGGGAGGTCCAGCTTAGGGATCTCAGGTCCAAGAAAGTGCTGTACTCCACCTCCAGCTCTTCTCTCTTGATGGCAGTGAGATCCCCTCCATAGGGTTTTTTAGGCTGTAATCTTTCCAGGAGCAGATCTCCAGGTCTGCTGGGTAGGCTCAAACTGACAATCTTTTGTTTAGCACTTAACCAATGTGGCACCAAGACTCCTTTATAGTGTGTACTTTATGTTTCCCTCCCTACCTGCTGCATCGAGGTATTTGAGAAATGTCACATCACTTTACATTCCAAAATGTTTCCCTGACTCATGTACCTGAGATGAAAGGGTTAAACACAGGCTTGCTGGCACTATTATTCTAATCCAGGATTAAGATGGCTGCAGAGGGAGGCCACTCTGTCTCCTTGACCTCCCTGGCTAGGAGAGATGTGGTGGTTCTTCTGAGTAAGCTCCTGATCTGCCTGGTGGTAAGAGCTTAGCCTGTCTCATCTTTCCATCAGGAAAGTGGCTTGGATGGAGAGACGGAAGGGGAGGGGACCACACACTGCCCTTTGTCTTTGTGTAACAGCTTCAGATGCCCATGACTGGAGGGCTGAGGGAAGGGCAAAAGCATTCCCGTGGAACTGTGGCTTCTCCCCAGAATTTGCTCTTTGTAGGCTTTGCTGCTCCTCAATGGCCAAACAGCTATGGCATGAGCCCCCAAGGGAGAGGACATCCGACCCCATGGGCAAACACCCAGACTCAGGGTAACAATGTGCATCCTCTCCCCTGTCCAACTCCCAAGTTTACAGATGGGGAGACTGATGCCTAAAGAGGAAAATCACCCAGCCACTTCATCCCTCACCCTATCCACTGAGCTAACAAGCTGCAGATGTGCAGTTTCAGAAGCGTGGCAAAAGCTGTCTGTCTTTAGGTGGGAAGTTGCTTTTGCCTTAGCCACTGACTGTCCTGACACTTCTAGGAAGTTCCCAGGGGAATTGTCAAAGCTGGGCTTGTGAGTTACAGGCCATAGGGGGAAGGGTTGGCTCCAGGTCTGTGTGTCCTTGGTAGAGGCCAGGGTCAGATAGTCTAGAAAGTCTTCCACAGATGGAAGAGTGTGAGTCTGTCTGGAGGAGCTGGGTGCTCCTTGGGTGGCCTCCTTAGACCAGTATAAGGTGTTTTTGGGAGGAAGGAGGTGGGTTGGGTCAGGTTCAGTATCTCACAACACTATACCTGCTTGCTCTCTGCCCGTTTGGAGAAAGGCGCCCTCCTCTCTCCAGGGTGCATGATGAATAGTCGCCTGCTCTGCTGACCTTGGCTGTGATCTCAGAAGGTGGCTGCAACTCTTTTCCCCACCCATGTGTTACTGCATGGATGCCTCTAAGCACTTAAGAAGCCCTGATTTTCTAATCATCAGAGAAACAAGCTTTGTCTGCCAGAAACCAGAGCAGGGCAGATGATGGGGGAGATATAAATATATATATATATATATATATATGTGTGTGTGTGTGTGTGTGTGTGTGTGTGTGTGTGTGTATAAACAGATCCAAGTGCAGGGAGCAGAAAGGAAACAGCAAAGTTGAAAAATGGCTTAAAAACCAGGGGACAAGGCCAATCTTGGCAGCATCTGGCCAGCTGCCTGGGGGCCCTCCTGCCTGCCCACCAGGTCATGTGACAAATGCCCTCTGACAGGCAGGGAGCCACAGCTGTCACCGGAAGGCTTGGAGCGAGTGGGCTGCCAGCCAGAGGGCCATGACTGCAGGGGCAGCTCTCTGGGCTGGTAACCTCATTATCTCAGCTGTCGAGCAGGAGCTCCAGGGAGCACAGCTGCTCTCAGCGGCACATTGGAGGAGCTGCCTGCTCAGGGAAGCTGTGCAGAGGGTAGCGTCTGCTGCCAAAGGAGGCTTCACAGGGCAGCAGGCCTGGGGACTCACGTTCACAGCACTGCAGTAAAGCCCTCCTCGTTCCAAAGCCATGCCTGGGTCTTGCCAGGGTTCATGTGCACAGATGGTGCCTTTATTCTAGCAGTTTTTTTCTTCCTTTGGCCCTAAAGCAGAGTTAGGTACAAATAATGAGACACACACAGACCCACAAAATCATAGTTTGCTAAGGGTTTGACCAAAGATTCCCCACAATGGCCTTCCTGGAGGCCTCAGGGTCGTGCCATTTTCTACTCATGTCTTTCTCATCCTGGAAACTACCTGAGCCTGCTTCCTTTTTCTGGGTGGCATATGGCATGAGTAAGGGGTGGGTGACTGCAGGTCTGAGATTTAGGTCTGGCTGGATCTCTACCTGCCTGAATTCTTTTTCTGTGGACCCTGCCTGGTGAGGACAGTTCAGCACATTTGACGGTGAGGAGAGGGGCCCATTGGACCCGCTAGGGGCAGCCAATGGGCTACCGAAGTCCCATCAAAGAGTGTGTCTGATCCCAGCCACAAACATTCTTGGCCCTGGGTCCCAGGGAAGGAACAGGAATGATGCCAGAGGCTGTGGGACTGGCTGTCCTCTGTTCAACACTCTCAATTGATGTTCGACCTTGAGCCGTGTGCAAATGTTCCTCTCTGCTTTGTAACACCCTCATCTGTCAAGTGGAGAGAACACATGCCCTCCGCAGCCTGGCTGGGGACAGGGAGCTCCGGGGAGAAAAACGTCTTGTCAGCAGGAGGCTGTGGGCTGCAGATTGCTGTGACTGTGCTGGCTACATGTCACCTTCTGGGAGACAGCTTGGAAAAAGGGATGCTGTCACTTTCAGCAGCTCCACCCCAGCCAGGGACAGCAGCACATCTGGTGGTGTTGGTGGAGGAGGGGAGGAGTACAGGACCCTTACTATTATAAACATCAAGCCATTTGCTGACTTGGTTTGGATCTAGCTTAATTTCTCTCATCCCTGAGCCTGTGAGTCCTGTGCTGACGCCTGGCAGTCTTTGATAACAACAACCACAACGAGAGAGAAAACACCAGGATTTACAAAAATGTCATTCCCTCAAAGGACCAGATCTGTGAGGGGCAGAGCCCTGATCCCTTGTGTGCGGTGGAAGCTCAGGGTGGTGTGCGCTTGTGTTTGAGTGGGTATGTGTGTGGATGTGGAGAGAGACAACAGGAGAAAGAGGTGGCGCGTGTAAGGGCCATCTGTCCTGGTACAGGCCCAGCCCAGCCATCCCAGGTCCTCTCCCTCCTCCTCCCAGACAACTCTGCGGTCTGTCCGGGGAAGGAACAATAGAATAATCTGGAGACTCCCCTACCCTTTTCTAGATCTTCCTGGGATCTGTGCCTCCAGCCCCAGAATGGATGTCCAAGGCTTGGTGGTACCCCAACCCCTACCCAGAGCCACTGGGGGCATTTTCCAGACCCTGAGTGCAGCTGGGGCAGCCGGTGTGGGTACTGGGGGAGGAAGGCTGCACATGCAGGGCTTTTTCTGGCAGAGCCAGTGCTCAGCGCTGGTAAAGCCCTTCTAATCCATGTCATTTTCTTCTAATCCTTCCCTGCCCACTCTGGCCCGTGTGCCATCCTGCAGAACCTTTGGGCCCAAGCCCGAGCCCATGCTGAGCCCCAGGCATGAGGAAGCCAAACATCTGCTACAGCATCCCCGCATGAAGGCCAGGACTCGGCCCCTCCGGGCCAGCCACGACATTATCCCCACCATTGCCCCGGGCAGCCGGTGAGTGAGCCTGGGAGGACCGTGGCAGGGCAGGGTGGGTGGGAAAAAATATGGGCTGTAGCCAATATGCTGCTATTCATGCCTCCCCTCTGTGGGTTTTGTTTATTTATTTTTCCATGTCAGGCCCCTGCTTTCATTCATTTAGCCAGTCAACACACTTTTATTGAGTGCTTACTCAGTGCTAAGCACCGAGCTAGACACTGGGGATACAAAGGGAATGGACCATAGCTCAAAGTCTCTGAAAGATGGAGGTCTCAGTGCCCAGGAAGAAAGACAGGCAGGCAGATCAATACAATTGTGTTGACTCTATGGTAGTAGAGGGTAGTTGAAGGAGCCTTGGTGGCTTGATGGTTAAGCATTTGGCTGCTAACTGAGAGGTCGGCAGTTTGAAACCACCAGCAGCTCCATGGGAGAAAAGACTTGGTAATCTACTTGGTAAAGATCCCCACCTACTGCTGCTGAGTTGATTCCAACTCATAAAGACCCTATAGGACAGAGTAGAACTGCCCCATAGGGTTTCCAAGGCTGTAAATCTTTATGGAAGCAGACTGCCTCATCTTTGTCCCATGGAGCTGGTGGGTTCAAACTGCTGACCTTTTGGTTAGCAGCTAAGCACTTTAATCATGGCCCACTGATAGCGTAGTGCCTAAGGCACTTGACTGCTAACCAGAAGGCTGGTGGTTCAAATCCACCAGCCACTCCTCGGAAGGAAGTTTGGGCAATCTACTTCTGTAGTGATACCACCTCAGAAACCCAAAGAGGGGTCGCTATGAGTCGGGTCTGACTCGATGGCACATAACAACAACAACAGGGCTCCCTGTAAAGATTACAGCCTAGGAAACCCAATGGAGCTGTTCTGAGATGGAATTGACTGGACAGCACACAACAGCAGCCATGCTGTAGTAGAGGAAACGTGTGGGGAACCTGTAACTCCACCTAGAGAGGACAGGAGAGGCTCTCCAGGGGAAGTGGTTTCTATGTTGGGCCTTGAAGCAGGTGTATGTATTCACTGGGCAGACAAGGAGGCAGGAGAGCATCCTGGGGTGGAACCCTGCGCAGGAGTGTGGTGCTCTGGAGTTCATCTGGGCTGGAGCATGACAATGTGCCTGAACATGGGGCATGAAGGCTAGAGAGCTTCACAGTGGCCACCATGGAGGCCTCCAAGCCCCCTGAGCAATTTAAATACCTCCTGTATTAGACTGGGAGCCACTGAAGGATTTTAAGCAGGTGGGTAGCATGATCACATTTGCATTTCAGTAAATCCTTCCTGGCTACAGGAATGTATTGGGCAGTGAGGAAGCTGCCCTCATGGTCCTGTTAAGATGTGATGAGTCCTGAACCAAGCAGGTGGGGACAAGGGAAGGAGGAGGTACAAACAAGCAATTCCCAGAAGCTAGAGGCAACAAGACTTAATGAGACAGCAGAGAAATAGTTAAGACTCTAGAACTAGACCACCCAAGTTTGAATCCTGACTTTGCCACTTGCTACCTATGCCTCAGTTTCCTCATCTGCCAAATGCCTGTCTTACACGGTTGTTGTGAAGGTATGTGAGTCAATATATGTAAAATATTTAAAACAGCATTGGGCACATTGTTGTTAGGTGCTGTTCAGTCAGTTGCAACTCATAGAGATCCATCGTGTTACAGAGTAGAACTGCCTCATAGAGTTGTCTTGGCTGTAATCTATAGAAGCAGATTGCCAGGTCTTTCTTCCATGGAGCCGCTGATGGGTTTGAACCACCAACCTTACAGTTAGTAGGCAAATGCTTAATTGTTCACTCTATCTGGGCTTTTTTTTCTGGCACATGGTGACTGCTATGTAAGTGTTAACTCTTACTATTAATTTTTTAATTTACTGGATGTGGGAGGTATGAGAAGACGAGGCATCCAGAATAGAGCCGGGGGCTCTGACCTAGTATCTGGGTATTTGGTTTGCCTTTAGGGGATTCTGTCCCTTACAGAAGGAGCTCTAGTAGTATAATACCTAAAGCATTTGACTGCTAACCAGGAGGTTTGCAGTTCAAACCTTCTGGAAGGAAGGAAGACTGGGCAATCTACTTCCATAAAGATTTACCACCTCAGAAACCCAAAGAGGGTCTCTATGAGTTGGGATCATCTCAATGGCAGTGAGTTTTGGGGGAGGGGGTATTTATTTTTTCATTTTTGGTCCCTTCCAGAGCATCCATTGGAGATGCTCATAAGCAGTTGGATACAGGATCTGTAGAGGAGGAGAGAGGTCAGAGCTGCAAATTTAACAATGTGGGAGCCAAAGATGAGGGTGAGCTCATAAGGGATGAAGAGATGGGAAAAGAACAAGTTCAAGGACATACAGACCAGCACATCACATATGTGACTGCTCCTCTGAGTGGCACTCCCTGTTCCCATCATCATGCCTGTCCTGTCCTGTGCTGCATGGAACCACTCACATGTGGAGTTTTCCACCACACTGGAGCCAGCTCACTGTCACATGCCTTTGCCTAAGATGTGGCTCCCAGACATACCAACTCACTCCAGGTACAAGCAGGACCATCTCTTCACCTGACCAAGTCTGTGGCTCTACAGCACAGTGGTTATATTGGATTTGCCTGTTTCCATCACTACATGGGACTAGAGGGAGCAAGGATTCTTTGTGGAATGGGACCACATGTTCTTTGATTATTATTATCATTGCAAAAATATATATAACACAACATTTGCCAATTGACCATTTTTCAGGCATTCAATTTAGTGATATTGATGCATTAATCATGTTGTGCAACTACCACCTATAATCACTGCCAAATTTTTCACTACACCACATGTTCTTGATGGTGGGGTGGATGTTGAGCCTGCTCAGTAGAGGCCGAGCACCTTTAAGGAACCATTGAGATGACTCCATCATGAGCAGAGGCAAAGGTTGCCATTGGGCTGTGGCCTACGAGACCCTAAATCCCAGCGAAGGGTGCCAAGCAGGCTACCCTTATGATCATTTCCAAATATTATACCTTGTCTCTCCCTCTGGCTAGTGGGCACTCATTTGGGAATGAACATGACTTCTTAGAGGCATCCTAACTCTTCTTCCCCACATGTGTATATGGGACCTGGTAGCCTTGGATTTCCAAGGAATTTTCTGTTGTGCTTTGTCCAGGCACATTTGTTGGGCTGGGTAGCCTCAAGGCAAGACCATCTACAAAAGAGATTTTATTGTGTAAATGTACTCTTGGACCATTTCCTCCCCTCAAATTGCTTCAGCAGCTTACAAGACCCCAAACACTACTTAAAATAGGGCTTTTTTTTTGGCTAGGCTGTCTCTCTGGTTGAACAAATGCTATAGAAATGCAAGGTGACCCACTTTAGCAGCTGGTGTGTCCAGAAAAGAATTACTATGACTTGGCAGTGCCGGTGAATCCTCAGAGGGTATAGCTGAAAAATCACCGCCAGATGGTTTGCCGCAGATGCTTTTAAAGGTTACGCTCTGTCAGATCACCCTGGAGAGGCATGCTGTGTTAACACGGGGCTGCCACATGGGCTCTGGGGCCTCAGTCAGATGCAGCAGGCCTCAGGCCCCAGCCCAGAAGGATCACTCCTTTCAAAGAGCAGTTTGGTGAAAGATGGTGGAAGAGGAGGGGCAGGCAGAGCAGGCTTCAGAAGGCCTTCTTTAACCTAGATCTGGCTGGAGGTGGCTGGGGCAAGCCTGAACAGACAGGGCTTTTCCAGGAGGTGAGAAGGTATCTTAGCTATAGCTGCATATTCTGGAAGTATATTCTACAATCAAAGTAGAAATTGAGCAGCACCTGGAATCACAAACGCTTGCCACTTTGGGACTAGGCACACCTGGGTTGGTGTTTCTAGTCCCAAGAGGGCAGAACACAGCTGCAAAATGCAGGGATGACATCTGGGAAGGTGACACCTACTTGCTATTGTCCAGTGGTACATAATGGGTGTGTTAGGCCCCTGCAGATCTTGCATATCTCACATGGATTGCATGGTTAAGACTATATTCTTGCAGAAGGTGGGACTCTAGAAAGGATGCTCCCATGAAGGCCATTCAATTCCAGGACCACAGCAGAGGGTCTGAGCTCAGATCAAAATCCTTTCCAAAAAGAATGATTGTTGAGGCAACTACTGTGGCCTCATCTTGATAAGCTTGGCAGGCATGGGATCTGCTTGCTGCTTCATGCCTATTCACTCTGCGCTTGTCTCCAAAATCCTTGCCCTACCTTTAGGCACTGTTCCCGGTACTGCTGGTGGCCACCTCTGAGTTTAATTTAATTGGGTTGAAGACACATTATGTGATTAAGCTCCCCTTCACTTCACCTTTTAGAACAAAAGTTGCATTTCTACTTTTCAAGTGAATTTTAGGGATGGTTCATTTCACCATGATGTATGTAAAAGTTCTTGTCATTGAGGTGACTCATGGGACCAGGATTCCCTTTTTAGGTTAGGAACGTCTTGCCATTAAACCTGGGCTTTCTCTCTCTCTCTCTCTCTCTCTCTCTTTCTCTTCCCAGAACATGCAACCCACATCCTGTGAGCACAGCAGGGTACCACCCTCTGGAGTCTACGTAAGGGTTGTTGGGTCTAAACTGATGTACTGAAACTCCAAGTGGCATTTCCTGTGTGGTGCTGGGCTGGGAGGTGAAGGCAGAACTTCAGCTCATTGGAGTCCTTTTGTTTCTGTGGAGTGAGGTGATGCTGTGTCTCTGGTTAGATTTTCCTTTCCCTGGGCTATTAGAGGAGCAAGAGTGCTTCGGAAAGCTGATCCACAGACTCCACATATACTTTGATCCTGCAGCATAGTGGTTGTCCCACAAAATCTTCCTTAGACCCTGAAAAGCTAAAACAGGTACAAGTGCAGTGGGGCCCAGAATCCTCACGTGGATTCTCAGGGCCAGGGTCTTAGAACAGTGCTTCACAACAGAAAACTGTCACCACTGCAGTTACAGAGAAGTGCCTCCCCCGACAATGACCATGCTTACGCAAGCAGTGACACCCTGCACCATCTTTACCAGCCAGGTGATCCCACTGCAGTTGACATCTCTCACCTGCAGAACCCCCTCTGAATGCAGGGCCACAGTGTGGCTTCTGTGGCCTCTAGGTACTGTAGCCTTCTTGGGTCCCTTCTTTCCTAAAAACAGTTAAAAAAAATATATTGCAATTACTATGTTGCCTTAAAGATGAATATGTTGATATCATATATTAAAACAGTTTCTTTGACCTGAAAGATTATTTTCTTCTGATTAAAAAAAAAAATTAAAACCTTTCCATGGATCCCTATAAGTACTTTGGGCCCATGGCACTGTGACTACTGTGCCTACTGGATATGCAGCTCTGTCTGAATGTGAGTTACAGAAAACAGGATGGCTGACGTCAAATTCGTCAATATTCCTCAAAGAAGTCCTTTTAAGCACAAGATATGCTTAAATCTCAAAGAAACAAATTCACTTGCTTAACAGTAGTCCTTTTGAAAAGAAATTGCTCTCAGGGAGGTGTTTATTAGGCAGAACCACTGGAGTCGGGCATAGTAGCAGATGTGCAGGTCCCCATTACACATTGCATAGTCTGGTAACCATCTAGTTACATACTCTAGCAGAGGCCCCCAGTGCTTGAACTGAAGCACTTTTTTTTTTAAGTGAATTATTTTGCTGCTGTTGTTGAGCATATATGCAGCAAAACATACACCAATTCAACCATTTCTACGTGTACAATTCAGTAACCTTGATTACATTGAGTTGTGCAACCATTCTCACCTCCCCTTTCTGAGGTGTTTCTCCCCCAGCTACATAAACTCACTGTCCCCTAAGGTTTCTATCTCATCTTTCCAATTGCTGTTGTCACTTTGATTCCATGTAGATAGTTCTTAAAAGAGCATGATGCTCAATGCAGACACATTTTACCAGTTAAGCTAAACTATTGTTTAGTTTTAACAACGGACTGAGGCCCTTTTAAGCTACACAATTTAGGAAGCCCTCCTACAAGGGGTAGGAGACAAGGCAGTGTGAAGTAGCAGACCTCTGTAAAGAAGGCAGTGTTAATTTTGTTTAGCCTGCACCTCAAGACCACCATGGGCTTGTGAGCTACTCTAGTTTGCTGCCTGACTCCCAGGAACCGGAATTGGAGTGTCTTTGTGAATTGCAGAGGAGCTCTGGTGGCATAGTGCCTAAGGCACTTGACTGCTAGCCAGAAGGCTGGCTGTTCAAACTCACCAGCCACTCCTCGGAAGGAAGGTTGGGCTACTTCCGTAGTGATGCCGGCTCGGAAACTCAAGGAGGGGTCGCTATGAGTCAGGATTGACTCTACAGGAGGGAGTTTGGTTTGGTTTGGTGTGAGTTGCAGTGGCTGCTGAGCACTGGGGGACTACACTAGGGTGCTACCAGTGTGTGCCCAGGGAGGGGTCTTCTATCTGCTGCCTGTGATTTATTATCTGTTTCTTCATCAGAGATGTCCGGAGGAGCCCAGCCATGGACCCGAGGATAGCCTTTTCCTGCAGAGACAGCCCCCAGAACCGGAACCTGAGTGACTCCTCCAGCGAGGAGTCCAGCAGCGGGCTGTGGCCGAAGCGGGGAGCCTCCCCCTCCTCCCACGTCCGCTTTGAGGATGAATCTGCCCACGACGTCGAGTTCCGTTACCTGGAGCGGCTCCAGCAGCGCCAACGCCAGGTGCTTTTGCGGGCGGTGGACCAGGGCCCCCTACGCTCCAAGCCGGACCTTGCCAGCTATATCAGTGGGGGTGTAAGGCGCAGGGACACTGCAGAAGGGGCACTCCATGGGCTTGCAGGCGGGCTGCACAGCTGGGGTATCTCACCGCCGCCACCCACACGGGACAGTGAGAGGAAATGCCAAGCCTGCGGCAACTGTATCCAGCAGGAACACTCCAAAGAGGGGAAGACACCCCTAGGCCCGAGTGTCCTACAGAGGATCGAAGCTGGCTGTGAGGTGGAAGGGGTGCTGGTGGAGCCCCATAGCGCCTGGGGCCTGAGCTCCCAGGTCAGGCTCCTCCTTGCTGAGCCAGGGCTCCACTCAGAGAGGATCCGGGAAACGCACATCGGAGACATCCTTCAGCCAGAGGAGGTGGACTCCGCCCTGGACAGCACCGATGCCTCTGACAGCTGCAGGACAGACAGTGAAGAGGCTGGGACTCCGCAGCCCAGCAGGGCTCGGGGCCGAAGCCGTGGCTCCAGGCCTAGAGGAGGCCACAGGTGGTCCAGGAACATGGAGCCTCCCCGGGGCCCTCAGGCCCAGCATCATCTGCTTGGGGTTGACCATGTGGAGGTTGGAGATGAAACAAAAGAAGTCAGAGGACACACTCTGGCAGGGACTCTGTTTCCCAGAGAAGATGCTGTCCCTAAGCCTCCTGCCCTGGAATCTAAGAGGGCTTCCCTTGGGTCCGAGTGGCAGCCTGGACCTAGGCTAGATAATTGTTGGACTCACCTGGCAGATTCCCAAGCTCCATGCAGGACAGCTTATGCCGTGACCTCATCCATGAAGTTTGGGCTTTCCGGGCCAGGCAGGCAAGCTCCAGTTGTAGAAAACCATGAGTCTCTGGAAATGGCCTCCACTTCTTCCCTACAACAGAACCACGCAGAGCCCTCTGTCCTCCACCAAGCCCAGCAGCCAGCTGCTTCCCCCTCCTTGGAAGGCTGGGTGCCAACTCCTCCCAATTCAAGGAAAACAGCCTCTTCACCTGCGCCTCACAGGAAAGCAGCCCTGGCTGGGCCCCGCAGGCCAGGTAACCAGGGAGACCCTTTGGACACTCCCCTGCCTCCTTCAAGAACTGTGATTCCTAGAACCTGTGACCTCACCCCCCTGCAGCCCCAGCCCTGCAGCCCCCAAGTAAGGCACCCACTGCCAGTGCTGTCCGCCAACAACTGCAACAATGGTGCACCTATGGGGCTGCAGGAGCCCTGGGGAGAAGCCACCCCTGAGGGCAGTGTGGAGAGGGGCCCCTGCAGCCAGGAGCTAGAACTGTCCCTGGAGAACAGCAAAGAAGGTAAGAGATTGCCCTTGGTTCATGTCCTGCTACAGCAAAGGCCTCAGGTGAGTCTGTGGTACGGTAGGGATTCAGAGTCTTCACTTTCTTTTTCATTTTATTTTTGATGAAATCTGCTTCCATTCTACAGTATCTGGATCAATGACATTGGTTGCTTCTTTTCCTCTTAATAATCCAATAACGTAGGCCACACGCCACTCCAACAGCCTCTTAGGAACGACTCAGCAGCAAAAGGCATCAGGGGAAGTTGATGAAACCTGTCGGCTGGATGCCGGATTCAACATTGGTCTGGAGGCATATTAATCATTTCTGCCGCAGGGAGGTAGAACCTGGGGGAGGCAGTGGTGATGCTCTCTCTATATATTTTATTATTTTAAATTTTTAACATGATTTGGGTGAAATTTTGCAGAGCAAATTGATTTTCCACGCAGCAGATCGTACACATTTTGTCTCATGATATTGACTGCCATTTCCCACAATGTAACACCTCTCTTCCCACTTCCTCTCCATAGTTACCTCTTCCCTGTGTCCTTCCCTCCCATGCACTCCTGCCCGCCCCCCCAGCTGTCTCCCTGTGCATACACAATCCTTCTGTTCTCCCATGATTGAGCTCTCCAGGGAGTGTATCTACCTGATGTAAATGTTCAGCCCATATGCCTGTCTTTTATTTGGCTGAAAACCACAGGAGTGGGTTCAATTCCAGACCTGAAGGGCAGCTAGGAGCCATAGGCCAGGGGTTTCACCAGGCTCTCTCAGACCAGCAAACCTGGTCTTTTTCTTTTTTTTTATATAATTTTGAGTTTTATTCCACATTATTCTCCCACTCTATCCAGGATCTCCTACAGAGATCCCCCTCTGAGTGGTTGACAGTGGTAGCCAGGTACCATCTAGTTCTTCTAGTCCCTTGGACTGATTGTTTCCATGCATCTTTGGTTTTCTTCATTCTTCTTTGCTCTGGAAGAGGAGAGACTGACCCATCATTGTATCTAGATGGCCGCTTGCAAGCCTTTAAAATCCCAGTTGCTACTCACCAAAGTAGGTTGTGGAGCAATGTTTTTGTGTAGTATGTTATGCCAGTTGAGCTTGATGTCCCCTATGACCATGGTCCCAAGCCCACAGGTCCAACTACTCACTCTCTCCAGGTAGCTGGCTATGGCCAAGAAGTCACCACAACCTTGCCCCTTGTCAACTCTAGTACATACCTGGACATTCTTGTAGAACATACAAATATGCTTGTAGAAACCTCGTCTGCCACCCCTATACATGATCATGGGCATACTCCTCCCTGCCTAGGCATACCTGATCATTCAGCCTATCCACCCATCTGTCCACCCGTAAATCAATGTTTGCTATGGTAAAGCACTTGAGTCATTTTTCCAACTCATAACGACCCCCTCTTTGGGTTTCCGAGGCGGTATCTCTATGGAAGTAGATTGCCCAGTCTTCCTTCGAGGAGTGGCTGGTAGAGCTGAACCACCAGCCTTCTGGTTAGCAGTCAAATGCCTTAGGCACTATGCCACCAGAGCTCTCATACCACTAGAGCTCCCTTTGCCATGATGATGCTCTCTTAATGCTAGGAACCCTGAGGTGTGCAAGAAGTTCTTAGCTCCATGGCTGCTGGGGGCTTGGCTTTCAGGAAATTTTCCCCTCAGCAGAGCAGGAAGAGGCAGCAGCTTTAGGGTTTGTTATTTGCTTAGAGTAATAAATAGCCAGTAATCCTATGGCCAGGGCCTTTCCCTTCAACATCTTCATTTCATTCCTTCATTCAGCATTGACTGAGTACCTATTACGTGCCAGTCACTGTTCTAGGCACTGTGGGGAATGAATATATGAATTAAATTGATAGGAATCCTGCCCTTGAGACCCTTTATGACTGCAGATATGCTGCCTGGAGGGCACGGTGACCAGTGGGCAGAGATCCTACAAGATGTGCTGGACTTGCCCTCTGGTACCTGAGTCCTTCCCTAGCCCAGGCCCCACTAGACAAGTGGGTAGGGCTCTGCAGGCAAGTCTGCTGAAGGGTGTAAAACAGCATGTCTTTGCCCTTGGAGTTTTCAGATTCTGGGCATATCCTGGGCATCCACAGCATCAGGATCCCCAGTTTTGTGATCTGAGGTGACCAGCTTAGCTCCTCACTTTTAGTCCCAGATGACCAGATGACTGGCCTGCCCCACACACTTGCCTTAATGTATCTGCAGCTCTGGCAGCCCTGAACTGGCTCAAGAGAGATTGAGGGATCAGAACCAGTGGAGGGGAGGGGCAGAGAGATGATGACCAAAATGACATTATTGAAGATGTAGATGCCACATCCCAGCTGTGCTGGCCACTCCCTGCACTCCATACAGAGGCACACTTCCCCTCTCTGTCTTTTGTTCACACACACCCTAAAGAAATACCTCATCTTAATGTCCCTGCCACCACATGCTAAGTTGTGGTTCAGTCTTTGGGTGGGCTCTTGGTTGGCTGCTGGCTTGCCCCTAACCATTTCCTGCAGTGCTTTTAAGATTCAGTGACTTTCCTGGGCAGATCAGACCTTCACCACCTCCAGGCACACAGTCTAGGCTATAGATATTGACTAAGGAGGAGGATGGCCACTTTTTCCCCAGGTTTAGCATGAGGTTTCTCTTCTCAGTACTGTGAGATCCTGGGCAGGCCATTCCCTCCCCACCCCCCAAACATTTTATTATGGTTTGGGTGAAAGTTTACAGAGCAAATTCGTTTCCATCTGTTTTGGTTACATAGCCTCGCTCTGACAAGAATGTACCACAAATGGGATGGCTTGAACAAATAGGAGTTTATTTTTACAATTTGGAGGCTTTTAGTCCAAGTTCAAAGTGCCAGGCTCTAGGGACTGTGTGAAAGCCCCTTGACCTTGGGCTTCAACTCTGCTTCTTGCTCCTGGCCTGCTGAAGCTAGAGGCATCTCTTCACTCAGGCAGCTACTGGCTGCTGAAGCTAACAAGCCCAAGGTCAATGAATAAAATGGCACAGTACTGATGTTACCAAACCACACGGCAGGCTACTAATTCAAGTCCATTGTAAGTCTCAAGGTCAGCAGAGCATGGCAGGCTGCCGAACAACAACATGGCTACATGCAGGGTCCAAACGTGCCCTAAGCTAGAGACCATTCCCAAAGCTGCTGCTTATATATGGAAAGCAGACCACATCCCTAAAGCAGCTATTCAGCTGCTCCAATACATTCCACCACGGAGTTAATTACCAATCTCACCATGAGGAATAACTACATCCAGCTGCCCAGCTACTCAACCAGGCCTAGCCAAGTTAAAACACAAACATAACCACCACACCATCCAACAATTTATACACATTTTGTTTTATGACATTGATTGCAATCCCTACAATGTAACAGCAGTCTTCCCACTTCCTCCTTGTATTCCCCATTTCCATTCATCCTTCTTTTCTATCCCTTCCAACCTTCTGAGCTGGCTTTGCTGGGCAGACCACTTAATCATAGAACCTATCTCATAGGAATAAATGGAATAATCTCTGTATTGCTGGTACATAACAGATGCTACAAAAACAGTAGCTATTGACAAAGTGGTTAAAAATTCCAACCAATAAGACTGTGATTTTGTCCCAAGAATACAAACTTTTTGCTCTGAACTAGGAACATGCTTACTCAACCTGTATGCTGAGCAAGTAATCTAAGAAGCAGGACTATATAAAGAAGAACATGATATTAGGATTGAAAGAAGACTCATTAACAACCTGCAATATACAGATGACACAACCTTGCTTGCTGAAAATGAAGATGACTTGAAGCACTTACTGATGAAGATCAAAGACTATAGTCTTCAGTATAGATTATACCTCAACATAAAGAAATGAAAATCCTCACAATTGGACCAGTAAGCCAACAGCACAATAAATGGAGAAAAAATTGAAGTTGTCAGGAATTTCATTTTACTTGGAGCTACAGTCAACATCCATGGAAGCAGTAGTCAAGAAATGAGATGTTGTATTTCGTGGGGCAAATCTGCAAAACCAAAACCAAACACACTGCCATCAAGTCGATTCTGACTCATAGCGACCCCTCCTTGGGATTCCAAGGTGGTCTCACTACAGAAGTAGATTGCCCAACTTTCCCTCTGAGGAGTGGCTGGTGGGTTTGAACTGCCAGCCTTCTGGTTAGCAGTCAAGTGCCTTAGGCACTACGCTACCAGAGCTCCTAAATCTGCAAAAGACCTCTTTAAAATGTTGAAGAGCAAAGATGTCACTTTAAAGACTAAGGTGTGCCTAACCCAAGCCATGGTATGTTCACTTGCCTCATATGCATGTGAAAGCTGGACAATGAATAAGAAAGACCAAAGAAGAGTCGATGCCTTTGAATTGCGGCGTTGGCAAAGAATACTGAAAATACCATGGACTGCCAGAATGAACAAACCTGTCCTGGAAGAAGGGCAGCCAGAATGCTCCTTAGAAATGAGAATGGCCAGACTTTGTCTCCCCTGCTTTGGTCATATTGTCAGAAGGGGCCATTCCCTAGAGATATCATGCTTAGTGAAGTAGAGGGTCAGAGTAAAAGGGGAAGACCCTTAACAGAATGGATTGGCACAGTGGCTGCAATGATGGGCTCAAACATAGCAAGGATTGTGAGGATAGTTCAGGACTGGGCAGTGTTTCATTCTGTTATACACAGGGTCACTGTGAGTCAGAGCCAACTCGACGGCACCTAACAAAAACAATAACAGGGAGACTTGGGGCCCACCAGTTAAGCTGCTAACTAAGGTGGCAGCTTGAACCTATCCATTGGCTTCACAGAAGGAAGACCTGGCAATCTGCTTCTGTGAAGAATACAGCTTAGAAACCCCTCTGGGGGCAGTTCTGCTGTGTCACATGGTGTCTGCATGAGTCAAAGTCAGCTCTATGGCACCTAACAACAACATATCCCTGAATAGAGAAGGGACATGACTTACCACATTCATTCCACAACCATTTATTGATCATCTACTAGGTACCAGGCACAAAGTACATAGTGCCTGTACATAGTGCTGGGCAATGGGGTTACAGCAATAGACAAGACCTAGTCCTTGCTCCCAAAGGTTTTCCATCTAGAGGACTCCTAACACCCACCATTAAGGAGGGGCCCTGTGCATGTAAGAGGACATCATTTCTGCCTCCACTCATTGCTTGCTGGTGGGTGTCTCACCACAGCTCTTGATGTTTTTTGGGACTCCAGCCTCTCTCCTGCTTCCTCTCGCTCTCCTGCCTTGGTTACTGGGAATGCCTCTCCCTACACCGTGCCTTTAGGCATAGGTCAGATCAACACAGGAGCGATGCTGTGGTTGTTGCAGGAGGACTCCAGGGCTTTCCCAGCCCAGCAGCCATTGGCATCATCAGCTCCATGGGTACCACCCTCTCCCTGGCCTCGGAGGAGCCAGAGCCCAGCCAGGAGCCAGAGGGAAGCCTGCAGAGGACAGAGTCGAGGTCTGGAGGGCGTGTGCCATCGGGGTGAGTGATGGGAACAAGAATCTTGGCCAGGGAGCGGGGAAAGGGGGCACTGGGCAGGGAAAGACATCCCTTTGAGTAGTTCTTATGACTAACGCTGTACCCTAAACCTTCAGAGGGTTCCTAGACTTATGTCCAAGCCTGGAACCTCTAACATTGCTTTCCCAATCATTTTTATTCCAATGTACTTGATTATTCATTCACTAAGCATTCACTAACAGCCCCCAGCTCTGGGAGCTCCGCTGGGCACTGGGGCACAGCTGACCAGGCAGTCCTAGCCCCTGGGTGCTCCCAGGGTGGGGCTACTTTTCTGAGAGGGTTCACTCCTCACTCTGGGCTTCCTTCTTTTGCTGAGCTAACAGCCCAGCATTCACATTTCCATTGCTTCTTTGGTTCTTGGTCTGAGTCCTTGTCCTGGGACTCTTTTGGCTTTGTTGCAAAGCCTTGGTGAGTCCAATGCTCTGGCGGGGACTTCTCTTCACCTACACTATCCCTGGTGGCCCTACAGAGTCCATGGCTTCATGTGCCATCGAGTGCCATATCTCCCAGAGCGCCACATTCACACATGGCTTCCATTGTCATCTCTGCTAGGATGCCTGATTGTTGTTTTGGGGTACTGTCAAATTGATTTTCAAGTCATAGTGGCCCCATGGGACAGAGTAGAACTGCCCCATACGGTTTCCTAGGCTGTAATCTTTATAGGAGCAGATCACCTGTCTTTCCTCCTGTGGAGCAGCTGGGTGGGTTTGAACAACTGCTTTTCACTTAGCAGCCAAGTGATTACCCATTCATTGTGCCCCCAGGGCTCCTTAGAGTGATAGTTAATTACCTCAGACTCAACAAGGCTAAAAAGAACTCTCAGTTGCTCCAAACAGAAACAACTTCCCCCTACATTCCCTTCCCAGTAAGCACACTACCATCCACACATGTTCAGGCCCCAGTTCTGGGACTTATCTTGGCTGCTCTTTTTCCTTCTCTCCCACTCTAAGTCCCCTTCACCTCCTGAATCCACCCCTCTACTGCCGTTTCTCCTAGTTTCAGCCATGTTCCTTCCTTGTTGTATAACACTAGTATTCTCCTATGACTAACCTGTTCTCTGCCTTCACTTTTGCCCCCTACAAGCCCTTCTCCAAACAGGATTGTCACAGTTTCCCTTTAAACCTTAATTAAATGATGTTATTCCCTTGCTTAACTACCCCCACCCCCATAGTTTTTGCCTTTCCCTTGGAATAGAATTCAAACCCCTCACCTCATCTAACAGCCCAATGTGTTCTGGCCTCTGCCAGCCTGTCTGACCTCATTTTATACCTCTTTCCTGCTTACTCATGACATCCAAGCTGCAACAGCCTGGCCTCTCTCTGTTCTTGAACACAGTGAGCCTCTTCCTGTGTTAGGGCCACAGTACCAGCTGTTCCCTTGACAGCCTGAGCATGGCCATTAGAAGAACTGCAAAGGAGGGCAGCTTAGGTTGAGCAGAGTGGGCTGGGGAGAGGGGAGCTGGGCTCCGGCAGGCACAGGTCCCAGGTGAGGGCTTGGGCTGTGATGCTGAGTGAGGTGGGCACCACTGGAGGGCTGGGAGCAGAGGGCTGGCCTGCTCTGATTCCCATTTGCAACAGGCTCACTTCACTGACTGCCATGTTGAATACTCACCTCTTGAACTTTGTAGGACTGGCTCTTTCTTATCATTCAGCTCCATTTAGGTATCATCTGGGAGAGGCCTTCCCTGGCCACCCAGTCGAAAACAAACATCTGTTCCCTGCCTGCTTCACCCTGCTTGTCAGTCACTCTTGTTTATTCTCCTGGGATTACTAGTGTGTTTATAAGTTCCTGAGGACCAGGATCGGATTTGTCTTATTTATTTACCCCAGTACCTAGAAGGGGCTAGCACATAGTGGAAACCCATTGCCATTGAGTTGACTCTGATGTACCATGACCCCACGTGTTAGAGAGTAGAACTGCTCCATAGGGTTTTCTTGGCTGTAATCATCAGGCCTTTCTTCCCTGGCACTGCTGGGTGGGTTCAAACCAGCAACCTTTAGATTAATAGTTGAGTGCAAAGCATTTGCACTACCCAGGGATCTGGCACATAGGAGGCCCTCAAAAAATAGTGAAGATAGGAACGAATGATTGAGTAAATCCATGAGTAAATCTCTAAGCTGTTCTCTCTAAAATCTCCCCAAGTCAAAGCAGCCAGCCACTTAGCCCTTCTCTCTGCAGCCTGGTTGCTTGTTCCTTGTGTAAGAATTGCTGCTGGTCCATCCCATGCCTACAGGCCCCTATAGCATGGTCTGCCCTTGCCCTGCTCCCCAGGCCTCTCTAGCCCACCTCTTGTGCACTCTTGTATTTCAGAGATTCACCAGGGGTCAGCGCAAGACCCAGCTCACCCTCAGCTGCCCCGTCTGAAAAGAGCAAGAAAAACAGCAGCAGCAGCATTGCCTCCACGCTGGGGTTGAAAAAGTTCTTCATGGCCCTGGGCCAGAGTACCCGGCCCAAGCTGGGCAAGTCTCGTAGCTACAGTGTGGAGCAGCTGCAGTCCCCTGTACCTGGCCCATCAAACGCCAACACTGCCAAAGTGAAGAGAGCCCCATCGTTACAGTCCTTGTATTTGGTGAGTCCTAAGGGGTGTGTTTGCCTGCTAACCAGACAGCTGGCGGTTCAAACCCACCAGCCACTCCTCAGAAGGAAGGTTGGGCAATCCTACTTCCGTAGTGATACTGCCTTGGAAACCCAAGGAGGGGTCGCTATGAGTCGGGTTTGACTCGACGGCACATAACAACAAAAACAACAACAAGGGGTGTGTGAGTCCGGTGGTGGTGTAGCCGGCATTGGAATGAAAGATTGGGAAATGAAGTATGGAGGACACCTGCCTAGCAGCCCAAGGCAGAGAAAGGGAAACAACTCACATCCCCACAGTTGATCCCTGAGGTTTGGGTTTCCCTGCACACCATGCTGAAGGGACTGTAGCTCACCATTTGCTTTTCTTTCTCTTGTGGTGGGCAGCCTTCCACATTTCTGTTCCTCTACCTTTTGCTCCGGCCTCAGCTCATCCTTGACTCCTCCCTCACCTTCCCGTTCTTTTCCCCCTCCCACTCCTGTCTTTCCCTTCTGTCTCTAACTCACCTTCACCTCTGCCAAGTTCCAGAGGGTCTGTTGTCTTGTTACTTAAGAATCTTTTCCATGGCCGCAGCCACTGTGTTAGTCCAGGCTTCAGTCATTTCACACCTGGGTTACTTAAACAGCCTCCTGAGCAGCCTCCCAGGGAGCTATTCCTGGGAGCCACATCACTTCCAGAATAGTCTGTCTTTCTTATTTTCATTGTGATTTGGGTGAAAGTTTACAGAGCAAATTGGTTTTTCATTCAGCAATTTATGCACATTTTGTTTTGTGATATTCATTGATATCCCCCGCAATGTAACTGTACTCTTCCCACTTCCTCCCTGTGTTTACTATTTCCCTTTCTTCTTCCTTCCTATCCCTTCCTGCCTTCTGAGCTTTATCCCTGGGCAGATGCTGCCCTTTTGATCTCATATGGTTGATTGTTCTAATGAGTACATACCTTCCTGTTATTATTGTTCACCATATAGGACTGTCTGCCATTTGGCTGAAAGGTTGTATTCACTTCTCACCTTGAAGGGTATCTATGGGCTATATAGGCTTTGGGAGTTCCACCAGTCTTCATCAGACCAATAAGCTTGGTCTTTTTTTTTTATTTTGAGTTTTGTTCCATGTTTTTGCCCTACTCTGTCCAGCACCTCCTATTGTGATTCCGTTCAGAGTGGTCAGCAGTGGTAGCTGCTGTTCTAGTTCTTCTGGTCTCAGGGTAGTGGAGGCAGGAGTTCATGTGCTCCATTAGTCCTTTGGATTAAATATTTCCTTCCATCTTTGATTTTCTTCATTCTTCTTTGCTCCAGAGAGGGAGACCCCAGTAGTTGCACCTTAGATGGCTGCTCACAAGCTTTTAAGACCCCAGTCTATTCACCAAAGTAGGATGTAGAACATTTTCTTTGTGGACTATGACCTTAGTGCCCCTGAGACTATGGGCCTGAGCCCCTAGTCCAAGTGACTCATTCCCTTAAGGTTTTCCATTCAACAATCCATTCTGTTTTGTGACATTTACTGCAATCCCTGTACTGTAACAGCATTCTTCGCAATTCCTCCCTATACCCACCCCTTCCCTTCATTCTTCCTTGCCATCCCCTCCCACCTTCTAGCTCTGTCCCTGGGCAAATGTTGTTTGCCTGCATGGTTTCTGCTGAGAAATCAGAACTTAGTCTTATTGGTTCTTCTTTGTAGGTCACTTTTCATTTTTCCCAAGCTGCTTCCAGGATTCTTCCTTTGTCTTTGGTTTTAGAAATTTGATTATGATGTGGCTTAATTTTCTTTTAGGAGTCTACCCTATTCGGGGTTCATTGAGCTTCTTCGTGCACGTCTTCTTATCTTTAATATTAGGCAAGTTTTCTTCTAACAAATCTTCAACAATTTTCTTGGTGCTTTTTTGGGGGAAGGGGGGTTTATTTTTTTTCAGGAATTCCAATCACATGATTTAAGTTATTCCTCTTGATGGGATCCCACATAATTCTTAAACTTTCTTCTTTTTTTGGTGGTGGTTCTTTTCTCTGGTTTCCCGTCTGATTACTGTTGATTTGTCTTCAATCTCACTAATTCTATGTTCCATTGATTCAGTACTTTGTCCTCCCAATTTATTATGTATTTCTGAAATTTTATTATTAATCTTCTGGATTTCTGTTTGCTGTTTTTTAGTGATTTGTAATTTTCCCATTAGTTTGTCAATTTTTTCTTTTTTTAAAAAAATAGTTCATAGTTTTTTCTCTGTTTTCTTTTATTTTGTCTGTGGTTTCTTCAAACTTTCTCTCAATCCATTGTTGTTGTTGTTATGTGCCATCGAGTCGGACCCAACTCATAGCGACCCCTCCTTGGGTTTCCGAGGCAGTATCACTACTGAAGTAGATTGCCTGATCTTCCTTCCTAGGAGTGGCTGGTGGGTTTGAGCCACCAGCCTTCTGGTTAGCAGTCAAGTGCCTTAGGCACTACGCTACCAGAGAAGTACCTAAATACAATTCTTTTTAATTTCTTATTAGGAAGTTCCAATAGCATTTCTGTCTCCAGAAGATTTTATGGCCCTGTATTTTGGTAACTTGATTGAGCCATCTTGTCTTGTTTTTGTGTATGTGATTTGAAATTGTCTATTGTCTCTGAGACATAGTAGTGTTATTGTATTAATGTGTTGATTATGTGTTGGTTTGCTTCACCCTGATTTTCTGTTTTGTTCCATTTTAATATATCTGAGCAACAGGCCAGGCATGTTACTCTGGTCATTAGTTTGGCAGAACTGGAATGCCCACCATTTGTCTCTGGGAGGATTTGGTAGCAGTTGGGAGTATGGGGATGAGTCTCTGGTCACTGATCATTCAGAGCAGCTAAAGGTAGGCTAGGTGGGTGTTGGCTGTTGGTCCAGTGGTGCTGGAGTACGTGGTGACATTCACCCAATGGGTAGGGCTACAGTTGTGGGTGTGTTTGTCCAAGCAGGCTCTCTGGCTTCCAGTTGCTGGGGAAATAGTCAAAGAAAAAAAACGGAGGGGAAGGGAGAGGGGGGAGAAGAGAAAAACAAGGAGTGGGGGAAGAGGGGAGACCTAAGAAGAAAGAAAAGGAAAAAAATAAAACAAAAACATAAATGTGGCAGAGTGCAAATGATAGCTTCCTAATACAGCTGTGGTGGAAATGGCACTTGCTCTGTGAGAGCACCCACCCCCAATGTGGTGGTTAAGTTTGTGTATCAACTTGGCTGGGCCTGGTTGAGTGTCTGGGCAGCTGGATGTAGTATTCTCCATGATGAGATCAGTAGTCAGCTCCATGGTAGAATCTACTGTGAGCAGCTGAGTAGCTGCCTTAGGGAATGTGGTCTGCTTCCTGTATATAAGGAAAAGACTTGGGGAACAGTCTCTAGCTTATGGCATGCTTGAACCCTGCATGTAGCCATGTTGTCATTCAGCAGCCTGCCATGCTCTGCCAACCTTGGGACTTTCAGTGGACTTGAATTAATGGCCTGTCGTGTGGTTTGGTAACATTGGGATTGTGCCTTTTTATTTGTCAACCTTGGGCTTGTCACCCTCAGCAGCCAGTAGCTGAGTGAAGAAAAGCCTCCAGCTTCAGTGGGCTGAGAGCAGGAGGTGGAACTGAAGCCTAAGGTTGAGGAGTTTTCACCCAGCCTCTAGAGCCTGGCACTTTGAACTCAGACTTAAAGCCTCCACATTGTAAGAATAAACTCCTGTTTGTTAAGGCCATCCCATTTGTGGTGTATTCTTGGCGGAACGGCACTAGGTAACCAGAACACCCAAATACAGAGGGTCAAAGGCAGCACTACTGAATGTGAAGGGTGTGTGTGTGAGGTACCAGCTTAACCAGATCTAAGAAAAAGAAGAAGGAAAAAAGGGAGGGGGAAGTGAAAGAAAAATGGGGGAAAAAAAAAAAAGAAGAAGGAATGGGGAGTGAGAAGGTCTAAGAAGAAGGGAAGAAAGAAAAGAAAAAAACTACTGCATGTGTTAGTTGCCAAACACAGCTGCAGCAGGCACGTGGCACTCACTCCAGGGGGGTACATGCCAGGACCACAGAAGAGTGGGGGTGGGATTAAAAAAAAAAGGAGGGGGGAGAACAAAAGAAAAGGAAGAAGAGGAAAACAAGGGGGAAAAGAAGGAAGAAGTAAGAAGAAAGAAAAAAAGCAGGACAGTACTGGCAAAAGTACAGCTACCAAATAGGGCTGCTCAGGAACGCAGTTTTTGCTCACAGGAGCCCACGTCTGACCAGGGAGAGGCGGGTAAGGTGCCACTAATTGCATGGGCAGTGGGGGAGGGGTTCCCACGCTTCAGGATCCAAAATAAATAAATAAATAAAGGGAGCAAGGAAAAGGAAGGGGAAAACAAAAGTGGTGAGGGAAAATGGAAGAACTAAGAAAGAAAAAGAGAAAAAAAAGTGGCACAGCACTGGCAGTGGGGGTAGTTTGACCTGCTGCCTGAGTGAGTGGGGGTGGGAAGGACCATGCCTCTGGTCACCAGGAGGTTGTACAAGGTAATGGGGGGAGGGACACAGTTCTGGTCACCTGATCGCCAGTGTGTGTGTTGGCACAGTCCTGGGCAAGTGGAGCCTGTTATCTAATTGCTGCTCCCATCATATTGCTGCTTGCAGTGATTCAAAATGGCCATGCTGTGCTGGTTGGCAATTTACCTCTCCTTTTTCACTGTTTTCATTCAGTTGCTTCCTTTCATTTGTATTTGATCTACTTCTTAATCCTTTCCTTTGAAGCTCTGGAATTGATGGTTGGCATCTGTAGCTGTTTCTCTTGTTTTTTCAAGTCTTTGTTGTAGAGGGTCTGGATAGTGTATCTGCCTAGTCTGCCATCTTCAGGCAAGAATGGTCTTTCTAATATGCAAATGTGGCCATACCACCCCTTGCTGGCACCATCAGTTCCCTTACTGCCCTCAGAATAAAGTCTAGACGACTGGGCATTGCCAGAGAGTCCCAGTGTTCTATCTGCCCTCTCTCTGGTCACTCTCCTTCCAACACTCTTGCCTCCAGTTATACTTGACCTCCTGTGGTTCTCATCTTGACCTTGTCCTGAAATGTTCTACCTTCTCCACATGCTAACATCTGCTCATCCATCAATACTCTAGGTCTTGACCTCTCCAGGAAGCTATTTCCAGCTATTCCTCAGGTTGAGTTGGGAGTCTCTGCTCTACATTCCCAGCTCACTCTGTGTTTCCCTCCCTCACCAGTTCATCACACAATATTTTAATTGATTTTTGTCTGTCTTCCCCACTGGATGGTGAATTCTTTGAGGGAAGACAACTAGATGTTTATATCCCCAACACTTAGTACAGTGTCTGGTCCAGTGCACACATTCAGTACACAATGAATGAGTGAATGCGGATCAGTTAGCTAAATTTCTCCCTCCCTATGTGCTTACGTTGGCAACCAACAGCAGTGCACTGTCAACTCGGCCTCTGCAAACCCCGCTCTATTCAAAGGCTTGGCCCAGGTGTGTTAGTTTCCTATTGCTGCTGTAACAGAAATACCACAAATGCAGAGCTTTAAAGAACAAAAATTTATTTTCTCACAGTTTAGGAGGCTAGAAATCCGAATTCAAGGCACTGGCTTTACAGCTGGACCCTCTGTCGGTTCTGGAGGAAGATCCTTGTTTTAGCTTCTGTAGCCCTGGCGCTTCCCAGCAGTCTTCACACAGCACCTATCTTCTCCCATTTGTGCTTACTTCTGTGTCTAATTTGATCTTTTTATAACTCAGAAGTGATAGGTTTAAGACACAACTGACACTGATAGGACCTCATTAAAATAACAAAGAAAACCCGATTCCTAAATGAGATTACAAACACAAGTATCTCGGTTAGGATTCCAACACATATTTTGGGGGAACACAATTCAGTCCATATGCCAGGTATTGTTTGTTCCTCTCTATCTCCCCTTCTTCCCTGGGCAGAATGAAGAGAGGTGAGGGGGGTGGGGCTGGAGCCTTTCCTTTTTCAGGCTGCAGTAGGGAAGAGAATGCTGACTGGTTGTCTTGCACCAAAGTCAGTACCTTGTACGTGGGGGTGGGGGTGGGGTGGTGCTTAATAAATATTTGTCATATGAAGGAATGGAAGACAAAGAAACAGAAGCAATGAGATTGTAAACTGAGGAGAAGAGCAGGAGCAGTGACACTGGCCTCCAGGAGTTCACTCTTCTCTTGACAAGAGATTTGTACGTTGTGTTAGTCTAAGCCATGGGGCCTAGATTTACTGCCATCAGAGCTTCTAACTCTGTAAACACCTCAAGGGCAATGACAACACTGTTAGTGTAGTGGGGAGATTTATTAGCAATTTAAGCTGAGCGTGCAGAGATGGAAAGTAAACTGGCTAAGAAAGGATAGGAGGAAGTCTAGAAAGGAATTGAAGAAAGAAGAAAGGCAGCTGTCACTCGGAAGTATTTATGACATAGCTCTGGGGTGAAATACGGCCTGTTAGAATGTTGTGCGTGGAAATGTTTGATGAGAGGGGGGTGAAAGCTTCACTGGGATGTCTTTTGTTCTCTCTTCACCCTCCTGAGTGGGCAGCTGCACTGTTCTCACATCGTCACCACACTGGCCACCTCCCATGTACTTCAAGGGGCTGTGGCCCTTCCCCCTGGGCCTTTGAACCTGCATCCAGAAGACTCTCCCCTTTTTTCTCCTCTCCCCTTTCCCTAGGAAACCTCTGGTTGTCCTTCAGATCTGAATTGAACATGATTTCTCTGGGGAAGCCTTCTTGAACTGTGATACAAGGTCAGGTCCCCGTCTTGATAACATACTTTACAGCTCCTTCAGAGCACAGATTTTAAATGTATGGTGGTGGTGGTGGTGGTGTTATTTGCCATCAAGTGGGACCCGACTCATAGTGACCCCTCCTTGGGTTTCTGAGGCGGTATCACTACAGAAGTAGATTGCCCCATCTTCCTTCCGAGGAGTGGCTGGTGGGTTTGAACCACCAGCCTTCTGGTTAACAGTCCAGTGCCTTAGGCACTATGCTATCAGAGCTCCCAAATGGTGTTGTTAGGTGCTATCTAGTTGGTTCTCACTCATAGCAACCTTACGTATCGCAGAATGAAAGGCTGCCTGGTCCTGCACCATCCTCATAATCACTGCTATGTTTGAGCCCATTATTGCAGCCACTGTGTCAGTCCATCTCATTGAGGGTCTTCCTTTCTCTCACTGACCTTCTACTTGACCAACCATGGATTGGTCCTCCTTCAGGAACTGGTCCCTTCTGATTCATGTCCAAAATAAGTGAGATACAGTCTCACCATGCTTGCTTCTAAGGAGCATTCTGGCTGTACTTCTCCTAAGATAGATTTGTTCATTCTTCTGGCAGTCCATGGTATATTCAGTATTCTTCACCTATCATTCTCATTGCCATCAAGTCGGATCCGACTCATAGAGACCCCTCCTTGGGTTTCTGAGGTGATATCACTATGGAAGTAGATTGCCCAACCTTCCGTTCGAGGAGTGGCTGGTGGGTTTGAACCACTAGCTTTCTGGTTAGCAGTCAAATGCCTTAGGCACTATGCCACCAGAGCTCCCATACCATAATTCAAATGTGTCCTTTCTTTAGTTTTCCTTATTCATTGTCCAGCTTTTGTGTGCATATGAGGCAGTGTGGGTGGATACATGTAGGGTTGCTATGAGTTGGAATTGACTAGATAGCAACTGGTTTTAAAATGTAGTTAATAATGTGTGTAATTATTTGTGTAAAAGTCTTCTCCTTGCCTTCATCTCCACATCTCCAACCCCACCTTCAGAATAGCTGTCACATTGGGTCCATTTCTAAAACACAAATCTAACCATCTCGCTTTCCTGATTAGCATCACTCATTGGTTCCTTTGCAGGGCATAAAAGGTCCTCCCAGGTCCGGCCCCCAGGCTCCAGCCTGTCTCACCACTTCTGCACACCATGTGTATTGGATATTCCAGAATATACCGTGCTTTCTGTCATCCATGTCTTTGCACATGTTATTTCTCTTTCTGAACATACCCTTAACATCTTTTTTTCACCTAGTGAACACTTGCTTTAAGACTCTCTATGTTGTCAGCTCTTGTAGCGTCCCCTAGCCTTCTGAGTAGAAAGAAGTCTCTTGGCTTCCCTAGCCTGTCATCCATACTTTTGGTTCAATGCTTACACTTTCATTCAGATTGTGTAGTTTATCTGTGCTCACCCACCCCCAATTATTTGGTGAACTCCTTGAGGGAGTTTTGTCTTGTTGATCTTTTTATGCAGTGTCTCAAAGTACATAGTCAAAATCACAATTTTTGAATGAATGCAATTATAGGAGATACTAAAGAGTTAAAAAATAATATTTCAGATTTTATCTTTAAAATTGTGTTCATTATTCTATAATTAATTTGCTTTCACTTTAAAAAAATCAGTCTTCTATCACCATGAGTATTATAATTACAGGAATAATTTTAGCCAAAATTTAAAACAACTTGGAGCCTGCATAGACCTATTTTCTTGAGTGTTATGGTGATACTTGTTGAGCCCTGGGGAGTTTGCACCATTAATTTCTTATGTGCCGTTGAGTCAAACCCGGCTCATAAGGACCCCTCCTTGGGTTTCCTAGGTGGTATCACTACAGAAGTAGATTGCCCAAGCTTCCTTCCAAGGAGTGGCTGGTGGGTTTGAACCACCAGCCTTCTGGTTAGCAGTCGAGTGCCTTAGGCACTGCACTACCAGAGCTCCTTAAAAGGCCTTTCAGTTCATGGTGGAGTAGTGCAAACGATTAATGTAATTGGCTGCTAATTGAAAGGTTGGAGGTTTGCGTATACCCAGAGGCATCTCAAAAGAAAGGTCTGGTGATCTACTTCTGAAAACTCAGCCATTGAAAACTGTATGTAACATAGGTCTACTGTGACACACATGGGGTTACCATGAATCAGAATCAAGTCAACAACTGCTTTATTGGTAGGTTCATGGTTGGGGCCAAGTCCCCATAAGACCTGCCCAGGTAACTTTTCTCACCTGCAATATTGGATCTTTCCCACTAGGTGTCATCCTCTCACCAACATCGGAAAGCTGCCTCCTTTCAGAACCTCCAGTCTCTGCTAAGCAGCAAGGTGGACCGATCCAGCTTCTACTTGGTAGGGGAGCCAGGGGACCACAGTGCAGGTGGCAGGTAAGAATGGACACAAGACCTTCAGATCTGGAATTGAACCCACACCTGTGGCTTCCAGCCAAACAAAAGACAGACACATGAGTTGAACATTTACCTGAGGTAGATACACTCCTTGGAGAGAAAGAATGGCTGTTTATGCACAGGGAGACAGCTCAGGGGGCAGGAGTGCATGGAAGGATGGACACAGGGAAGAGGTAACTATTGGGAGGAAGTGGGAGGGGAGTTGTTGCATTGTGGGAAATTGTAGTCAATGTCATGAGACAAAGTGTGTGAACTACTGTATGGAAAGTGAATTTGCTCTGTAAATTTTCACCCAAATCAAAATTAAAAAAAGAAAAAAAAAATGGGCACAAGTGACTTGGAGGATAAACTTAGAGCCCAGTGGAACTGTAAGTTTAACTCCTTCCTGCCTCAGTAGCACCACCCTGAGTGGGCTCTCTTTAAGAGAAAGCAAGGCTTGACACATTGTGAAAAATGTAACTAATGTCACTGAACAATTGTATGGAAATTGTCAAATGGGAACCTAATTTGCTGTGTAACTTTTCACCAAAAACACAATAAAATATTATTTTAAAAAAGAGAAAGCAAGGTCAACTACCTGTGTCTCCCTCTAACAAGTCAGATGGAGATGAAGGGTATAGGTGTGGGGGGACAGGGCGCTGCAGGAGTCTGCAGCCCAACCTTCACTGCCCTTGTCCTGTGCCACTGAAGCCCTGAGAAGATGTGGGGTTGCTGTAGTGGGTAGAGTTGGGCAGGTTTGACTCCACTGTCCCTCTGATGTCTGATGACATCTTGAAATAGGAATTCCAGAGAGCTTCTTTAACCAACTAAAGGTCCAGTTAAAAGATCCAGAGACAGGGCTTCTAAAAGAGGCCCTTACCTGTGACCCTCCCCAGAGAAATCACAACCTCTGATGAGACCCTCTAGGCTAGCTTCTCTGAACCAGGGCTCCATGGGTGGACTTGGGGGTCTATTAACTTCTAGATATTTTGTATAAAATGATAGCTTTCATCACATTCTCAAAGGAAGCTCTGCACCCAGAAAGGTTAAAAAAACACTGCTCTTGGTGCGGGGGGTGGGGGGGCTTTGTCATTCTGCAGCAGCCTTAGGAAAGCTGTGGGGACCCACCGATCTTGGCCCAAGCCAGACTCTTTATGCTGGTTGAGATGAAACCCAGCCTCCAGTGTTAGACTCTGAAGTCCAAAGGCATCAGGAGCCTTTAAGCCAGGGCTGCCCTCTTTGGCCTCATACTGTTCTCTGGTTGGTCCCTCATAGGCCAGCCAAGGCCCCACCCCGGCGTGCCCTCAGCGTGGAGGATGTGGGTGCCCCCAGCCTGGCCCGCACAGTAGGCCGCGTGGTGGAGGTGTACCCGGATGGCACGAGCCAGCTGCTGCTACAGCGCTCCCCAGAGGGTACTTTTGGCTTCTGTGTGGCTTCCGGGAATGGGCGCCGTGACTCAGGTATGTCTCTTTCCCTTCCTGGGTCCCACAGACCTGGGGCCTTAGTAAACCACAAGCCTTGCCAGAAGCCCATGGTCAGAGGCTTTTTCTGGCCATTGGCTCAGCCATGGAGCTCTGGATTCAGAGAAACTCTCTGCCAAAGGACTAGAATTCTTCCCTTAGGGGGCTCTTTCTGAAGTGTCAAGGGCTGCGTCAGAGCCTGACCTGCAGGACCCTGTGCCACTGTAGCCCTGAGAAGACAAGGGGTTGATGGAGTACACAAAGCTGGCAGGTTTGAGTCCACTGTCCCTCTGACGTCTCATGATATCTTGAAATCAAAATCTTGAAGGCCTTCTTTTCAGAGGAGAGCCAGAGGGAGAGCATCTGTGCTGGCTGCCTCTCCTCATCTCTTTGATGTGGTCAATACGTTTAAATTGTTTCCTTCCTCCAGCTATTGATATGTCCAGGCATGTGGAACGTGCATGTCTGTCTGTGTCCACAGCCCTCCCTGAGGGCCAGCGTTGAAGGTTCATGTTCAGATAGGTCTTGGCCCACACCCCTGGCTGAGTTGCCCATTAGGTCTCGATTCAATACTGGCTAGGTCAGTGAGGGGCCCAGGGCTATCGTTCTGCACTCTAGCTGGTGCTTAGTCCTGTCTGGAACAGTGGGTTGGTACTGAGGGAAACAAATCTTTCAAGGCAAAGTAATTTGTCTAGACCTTTGTTTAAGGGCTGTGGCCCCGAATCCATCTCAGGCAAAAGACCCTGCAAGGCTTTTCCCAGATCCGATGAGTGGAAGAGGAGGACAGGATGCTGGGGATGGGGAAGGGAGGGGCGATGAAGGAAGAAAAGAGAAAGATCACAGACACAGAGTGTCACACTCACAGAAGCTGGCTGCAGGCAGGGCTCTGCTGAGAAGGGCTCAATCCTGAGCTTTGATCTACGTGGTCAGAGTTATTGAGCCTGTAGGAAAATCTGCCTGCTGCCAAAGTTATAGACTGCAGCATGAGTTTTTGCATCTGTCCTATCGTTCACTGTTTCAAAAAAATATATATTGAGCACCTAATGGCAATACAAGGAGCTCTGGTGGTACAGTAGTTAAAGCACTCAGCTGCTAACCAAAAGGTCGGTGGTTTGAACCCACCAGCAACTCCATTGGAGTAAGATGAGGCAGTCTGCTTCTGTAAAGATATACCGCCTTGGAAACCCTATGGGGCAGTTCTACTCTGTCCTATAGGGTTGCTGTGAGTTGGAATTGACTCAGTGACAGTGGATTTGGTTTGATCAATGGCCATACAGTAGTAAATGGACAAAATCTCTGTGCACATGGAACATACAGATTTTTATATGTTAAATATATATATCAGATAGGGGGAAATACTAAGAAAAAAATAAAAATAAGCAGGGTGGGGCCCATAGAGTGGCAGTGAAGAAGTATATTGTAGACAGGGCAATTAGGGCCTCCTCTCTGAGAAGATGGCATTGGAGCAGAGACTGGAGTAGAGTGAAGGAGGTGTCACGTAGGCATTTGGGAAAAGTATTGTAGGCTTAGAATGATCAATCATGGGAGAACAGAAGGGCAGTATTTGCACAGGGAGATAGCTGGGGGTGGGAGGGCAGTAGTGCATGGGAGGGAAGGACACAGGGAAGAGAGAACTACAGGGAGGAAGTGGGAAGAGAGCTGTTACATTGTGGGGAATTGTAGTCAATGTCATGAAACAAAATGTGTATGAACTGCTGTAGGGAAAATGAATGTACTCTGTAAACTTTCACCCAGGTCACAAAAATTAAAAAAAAAAAAAAAGAAGAAGAAGAAGAAAAAGAGGAAGCTTTTGAGCCAAAAAAGAAAGAAAAGCATTGTAGGCAGAGGGGACAGTATTACAAAGGCCCTGAGGCCCAGGGGTGAGTCTGACCCTTAGAAGAACTGTGAGGAGGGCGGCTTGAGTTGAGCGCAGTGGCCCGCTGGGCAGGTGGGAGCTGGGCTGCCAGAGGCACAGGTCTGAGGTGAGGTCTTGGGCTGTGATGCTGAGTGAGGCAGCAGTGACTGGAAGGCTGGGAGCAGAGGCCTGGTGTGCTCTGATTACCATTTTCAATGCTCACTTCACTGACTACCATGTTGAGATAAACCCCTGTGGGGCAAAGGTGGAACCAGGGAGAACCGTTTTAAAGCTGTTTCAGTATGCAGGACAGACAAAGGTGGCTTGGATTGGGAGTGTCTGTGGAGGTGGTGAGAAGTGGTTGGGTTCTGGATGTTTTGAACGTAAGTTTGACTCAGTTTGCTGATGGATTAGACACGAGTGTGAGAGAAAGAGAGGACAGGTCCCCCTCCCCATTCTGGACCTCAGGCAGGGGTTGGGTAAAATGCCTGTCTTCAATGGGAGATTTCATACATGGAGATGTGGAGACGTACTGATCATCATAAAGCTCTCAGAAGGTTCTGGAGGCTCCTCTTTAGCCACTCTACATCTTCCTTTAGCTTCCTCGCTCCTTAAAAAATAAAAGCAGTTGCCATTGAGTTAGTTAGGATTCATGGCAACCCCCTGTGGGGCAGGGTAGAACTGTGCTCACAGAGTTTTCAATGGCTGGTTTTTTTGAAAGTAGATCTCCAGGCCTTTCTTCCAAGGCATCTCTGGGTGGATTCAAACCTCCAGACTTTCGGTTAGTAGCCGAGCACCATAACCATTTGTACCACTCAGGGCTCCTTAAGAAGAAAAAAAAAAAATCATTGCCATTGAGTGGATTCCAACTCATAACGACCCCCATTGGGTTTTCCAAGGCTGTACATTTTCACAGAAGCAGAATGCCTGATCTTTCTTCTGCAGAGTAGCTGGTGGCTTCGAACCACCAACCTTTTGGTTAGCAGCCAAATGCCTTAGTGACTGCACCTCAGGAACTCCTTAGATGAGGTAAAATAGGCCCTTCTTGCAAGACAATATAAAGTCTCTTTCCCAGTACCTCCACAAGCTGGCTGTGTGACCTTGTACAGGTTACTTACCCTCTCTGAGCCTCAGTTCTCTAATCTATAAAATGAGGATAATGAAATGTAATTGGAAGAGCCACAAGGAGTTTTCAGTGAGGTATATATGAAAGAACCTCACACTTTTTGCCCCTTCTCTTCAGAAAGAGAATGTGTTATTTGGGGAGCAGAACCCCTGATGAGGGACGGTTGATCTGCATTGATCTGTCAATGTGAGATCATACACACAGGGCATTGGACTATGTCTCCCAACCCCCAGAAATCTATTTTGGGCTCTTTGTAGGCAGTGGGAGGCCTCACCTATGACCTCTCACAGAGCCCTGAGGAGTAGGGGTCTCCAGTGACCCTCTTAGGGCTTTGCCCCAGCCCTCTCCCTGGGTCGGTGAGCACTCTTCCTTGTCCTACCCAGGTCATGTCCTGCTCCAGCTGCTGCTACAGTTGGCTGTTGTCACACAGGTCTCGCCACACACACGGAACATGGCAGGTGCTGGTGCCTCCTTGCCACAGGTTGTCCCTCAGCAACTTAAGGGTCTCTTCTCCTGGGCCTCAGAGGGGCTATGAGCTGGGGTTGGTTTGTGCTTCTCATAATATGTCAAGATGCTGGTGTTAACTTGTCGGCCATCATATCCATCTGACTTTGTACAAGCGTGTGAGAGCAGCAGGCTTGCCTTCCACTACAATTAGGTACAATATAGAGATCACACATCTGTAACGAAGACCGTTTCTATCTGACAGTAAATACTGACGATAGCAGTCTCTCTATCATGTTTTTATCGTGGCTAAGTTGTGAAACCTGCCCCTAGAGTCTCCCCAAAATGGCTGGAATGCCACCAGTGTCTGGTGTAGCTCTGGCTGCCTTCTTTTGATTCTGATCATCACTCCCAGCCCATGTCCCCTACAGTGCACCGGACACTTCTCCAGGCTCACCTGGGCCCTCCTTACTGCCCTGTCCTCACGCCCCTATCACTCAGACAGAGCAGGCAAGCAATTAAAACATCCACATTGAAGAGGTAAAAGAGGGCAAGGGTGGAGAGAAGCCTTGTGTGACCAAGATGGCAGACAGACCAAGTCGTCAGGTGGGAGACAGAGCCTTGCAGAAAAGGCTCAAAGTGGCCAAGGGCCAACAAAAGGGATATCCACATCTCGGACCAGGGAGAAGAAACCATGGGCAAAGATTGATTTTGTAAACTCAGAGCTAAAATCCTTCTCATGCCAGGAAAAAAAAAAAACAGCAGCCATGGACTTGATTCTGACTGTTGGTGACCCTATGTGCATCAGAATAAAACTGTGCTCCATAGCATTCCCAGTGGCTGATTTTTCAGAAGTAGCTTGCCAGACCTTTCTTCCAACGACACCACTGGGTGGACAAGCCTGCAGCCTTTCAGTTAGCAGCACATTAACCGTTTATACTACCCAGGGACCCCATCCAGGCCAGAAGCTGGGCTTAACAAAGCTCACGGGGCTGGATGGAGGCCAAATAGAAGAGGAGGAACAGAGAGGTCCCACTAGAGGTGCTAACATGCGCTAAATGGTTTCAAGCGAGAGATTGAGGAACCAGACCAGGTGCCCTTTCAGGTCCCTTCTAAGGAACCTGATTCTAGGAAGAGGAAGTGGAGACAATGTGTGGGCAGTTGCTTACTGCTTCTAACTGGGAGCCAGCCGGGCCTGGCCTGAGAGCAGCGAGTGTGTTTGAGGGTGCACTGAGCTCCCTCTATGCATTCCTCTGCTGTCATCTGTCCCAGGTTTGTTCCCTGCAGTCTTCCACAGTGCTGAGCTCCCATTCTCCTGTGTTCTCACAGCAGACAGCGTGGGGCTGGGGGCTCCAGCTCTCTCTGGGTTAACCTGCCCCTCCTTTAATCTCTCAGGAGAAACCAGTGGAAGGGGAGGTTGAAAGGTTTCCAGCAGTGACTTAAGAGAGCTTTGCTCAGCTTGACCCTTCTTGCACTGTCACTACGCTGTCACTACATGAAGCCAGGGAACCAGCTTCTGCCAGTGGGCCTGCTCCCCTGAGGGGGTCCCTGAAAGCCAGACCCCAGATATGAGCAGAGAAGCTGGGAATGATCTTATGAGAATAATCATACCTTCATGGGGCAGGGTGGTGAAGAAGAGGACTGTTCTAGATGGTTTAATATCTTAGGAAATTAATAGAGAGGTACCTAGGCTTGTCATGCGTGAACTCATTTAGTTTACTACAAGGCAGTCATGGCAAGACATGAAAGGAAGACCTTACAACATTCATTTTGAACTGAAGAGTCAGCATTTACGATTCCAACGTTAATTCAGTGGCTAGAGTTCAAATCTTTAGACTTCAGGCTTTTATCTTTAACGGGAGGTCTCAAGAGGAAGGCTTAACACAGGTGGCACTTGGTAGAGGTTCCTCGTAGCCCGGGTCTGAGGTCAGCAGCCGTGGGCAGAGTTGCAGCAGGTTCTTGGTGTTTGCCTCTGGCTCCTCTCAGTGAGTGAGCAGAAATTTAGGGCCTATATGGGAATTTCTCACCTTGGCGCCACATGATGTCAAAGACTAGCATGTTGTGTCTTTTCCTCAGGGTTGGAGATTAGCCAGATGATGTATCAGTTTCTTCAAGGTTACAGATTAGGGAGGTTAAGATTTATGTCTCAAGGCTGATTTACAAAGATTGACTATGTTCTATCTTCTTTTATCAGTTAAGTCAACTTAAAGGTGGTTTAGCACATTCTTCACATACTTCTATGTTTCTGTATCTTTGTTCAGAAATTTTCTAAATAACTTTCCCATGACTTATAGGTTTCTAATGACTTAATTTTAGAGAGCCTCATAAAGGTAGAAATATTTCTAAACCCGTAGTGCTTATTACATTTGTATTTTGGAACTGTAATGGTGACTTATTGTTGTGGTTCTCTAGTGCTGCTCTGGTTTCATTTGCTAAATTCTCCTGTTTTCTTTTGCAGGGTTCTACGTGCAGGAGATGGCTGATGCCAGCACGGCCAAGCTGTATTCAGGCCTGCTGGGGGTGGGGGATGAGCTCCTTGAGGTGAACGGGGCCAAGGTGGCAGGGCTGGGCTTGGCTCACATTAAGGAGCTCCTGGCCCACGCAGAGAGCTTATCAGTCCGTGTGCTGAGGCAGAGGCCTGTCCCACGGTGACCACGAGGTGCCGTTGCTCTCAGTGTCACCACACAGAAGCCCTGAACCCCCTCACAGGGGAAGGCTGAGAACACGCTACACAGAGCTGCTCCGTCGAAGAAGAACACAGATCACGGTGGCATCTAACCAGTTAGGCTGTGGCAGGCTTCTGTGATGGACGGCCCTGGGGAGAGGCATGGAGCCTGTTTGTGTGTTTTGTTTAAGGCTATTAATTTATGCAAACTGGGGAAAGAAAACCTAGGCGTCTTTCCATGCCAGTTGTGATGTCAATATCTACTTGCAACTATGTTGCAGGAAGAATGCTTCATTGAGTCCTTCAGTTGGTTTCAGAGTGTTGACCTCATCCCCTAGGTTCCATGCCACTCTGTCAAAGGCTCCCTCAGCCCCCAATATTCCGGAACCAGAGAAAGTGCTTGGCCATGGAAAAAACCAAACTCACTGCTATCAAGTCGATTCCAACTCAGTGACCCCCTTTGGGTTTCTGAGGCAGTAAATCTTTACAGAAGTAGATTGCCCAGTCTTCCTTCCTCAGAGCTGCTGGTAGGTTTGAACCACCAATGTTCTGGCTAGCAGTCACATGCCTTAGCCACTACACCATCAGGGCCCCTTGATTCCTTTCCTTTTTTCTCCCTACTACCTTTTTTTGCTCTTTATCCAGAAATGGGCAAAATATCCTGGAGTAATGGAAGGAAGGTGGGCAATCCTACTTCCGTAGTGATACTGCCTCGGAAACCCAAGGAGGGGTCGCTATGAGTCGGGGCCGACTCGACGGCACATAACAACAACAACAACAATGGCCTTATAGTTGTTAACCAGATATTCTGAAACCAAAAACATGTGTTCCAATGGCTTCATATGCCACTGCTGGGTGTGAGAACCAGAGAGATGTTACATGGTAGCTAGGATATTAAAAAATTTCTGGGAGATTTTGATTACATATAAATTTGAAGGAAAAAAAAAATGAAACCAACCAATTTCAAGGACATATAGCTGTAATAGCCATGCTCCAGCCTGTGGGACTAGCCAGCCCTGCCTCATGCCACCCTGCCCTCTGTCTCTGCCCAGGTAGAGACTGGAGTGGCTGCAGTTCTGTTGAGCTTGGAGACAGAGCTGCAGCTGGTGACAGGCTGCCCCAGCCACATGCCCAGACCTCCCTGGTGGCAGGTATGAGCAGTAAGGCCCCAAGTGCAGAAGGGATGAGATCTTACTCTGGATTTGAACACTGACCAGAGGGTTGGGACTCTGGAGATGGATGGCCATGTGTCAGTTTTAAATTATTAAACAGCAAAGTTGAAGCTTCTCCCACTGAGTTGCTAAATCTGCACCACTCACTCACTTGACCATGAGCAGGGGCTGGGATAAGGGAATTGGGGACAGTGCAGGCATTGTTGTGTTGGGTGTGCCAGAGGGGAAGGCTGCGGAGTCCCCCGGATTAGATTGACAGCCAGTATAGATGCAGAAGCCTCAGAGACAGTTGTTTGGCTGGAAGAGGAACCTGTGGTGAGGTATGTTTATAAGCAGGAGAGAAGGGTACAAGAGAGAGTGGGGTGGGGTGGTAGAGCAGGCAGCCCCTGGGTTGTTTTAGAACTTGGCAGGATGCAGGCTGTGGTAAAATACACGGCATTCCGCTAAATCAGTTAAAATGAATGTCATGGGCAGCTTTCAACAAGCAAGGTGGTCACCAAAGGACGCGTGTGGCCTGAGGAAAAGGCAGTCGGGTGTGCAGAGGAGAGGCAGCGCTGTGGAGTGTGTGTGTATTTAGCAGGGTGAGTGCTCTCCGGTTCCAGAGAGCTGGTTAAAACCTTTATTCCCACTACTGCCCTGGAAGCTAGGGAGTAAAAGAAGGGTGCCCAGAGCACAGCAGGTGGGAAGGCTGGGGTGGGTGTAGGGTAGGTGGGTATGAAGGAGGAATGCAGGGGGATTCTGGCAGGTGAGCAGAAGGGCCAGCAGATGTGCTTGAGGGCTTCGAGCTGTGAAGAGGGTGCTGAGCTCCCAAAAGTATAAACATGGTTCCAAAGCAGGAAACTAGAAGTGAGGGGAAACCCTGCCAGCTCCTGTACTCCAGTATTGACCTTGAGGTCATGAATCTCTGGAGAAATTTCATGTTGAAAAAGTCTTCTGGGGGTGAAAACCACCTGTTTTCTCTATATGGACAACACCTTGATTCACGGCACCAGCTGGGAGGAAATGAAAGTGTGGGTGCTAGGGCTGGGGGGGAGGGCGGGGAAAGGTCTTTAAGGAGCACTGACCATGTGCAACTATTACCTGCCAGGTGCTGGGCCAGGTTCTTGACACATCTTATTTAGTCCTTAAAATTTTCCTGTTTTGGTTATCTAGTGCCGCCAGTGGGATGACTTGAAGAAACAGAAGTTTATTCTCTTACAGTTTGGAGGATTTAAGTCCGAGTTCAAAGTGCCAGGCTCTAGGGGTTGGGTGAAAGCCCCTCAACCTTAGGCTTTAGCTCTGCCTCCTGCTTCCGGCCCACTGAAGCTGGAGGCTTTTCTTAACTCAGACAGCTACTGGCTTCTGAGGCTGATGAGCCCAAGGTTGACAAACAGGCAACATGTTTGGTAATATTACCAAACAACACGGTAGGCCATTGATTCAAGTCCATTGAAAAGTCCAAGATTGGCAGAGCATGGTAGGCCGCTGAGCAACGATTTGGCTACATGCAGGGTTCAAGCGTGCCATAAGCTAGAGACTGCCCAAAGCTGCTGCTTATAGACAGGAAACAGACCACAGCCCTAAGGCAGCTACTCAGCTGCTCCAATAGATTCCACCACGGAGTTGATTACCAGTCTCATCATGGGGAATACTACATCCAGCTGCTCAGCCACTCGACAGGCCCAGCCAAATTGACACACAACCTTAACTACCACCTGTCCTATGAAGGTGGTCCTGCATATTGATTTCATTTTCATAGATGAAGTTCCAGGACCATGATAGCATGCTCAAACCTGGCCCCTGTGACCCAAACCTCTGACAGGCGCCCCACTCTTCACACTGCAGCCTCCCCACTCCATCCCCAAGCAGTGGAGGCTCTCCCAGCCTCTGGACTGTGCAGTAGACCAGGCTCTGATACCCAAAGGGGCAAAAGTCATCACTTGCATGCATTCCAGCTCCTCTGTGGGATAAAGTGAAACTCGGAGTTCCTGATTGTATGGGTGGGAGAGTGGTTTGGTTCCTCTATCCTCTTGTCTGATCTCTCCTATCTGCTGACCTAGAAGCCTGGTCCAGCTCTGTGCCACACACACAACCATAGCAACCTTCTTACCTAGAATCTAGTTTAACTTCGACCAGGCCCTGTGACCCAGAGACAAGACACCAAGAGCTGCGACCAGGAAGTGACGGCATGCCGCAGCGTGCCCGCTCCCCGCCTCTATTTGGGCCCCGCGCCCTCCTCAGAAGCGGCTCCCGCCCCCGCCCCCACACCCCCCACCCCGCTCACGCTGTCTGCAAAGGGGGCCGATGGGCTGGGGACAGACAGGTGAGAGCCCTGGGGCTCCGCGCACGCTGCGCCTTTCCCGCCAGGTGGCCGCCGGTGAGGTCACCCTCTGCGTGGGTGGGGCCCCGCGCCTCCCTCAAATGTCCCCCACAGCGCCCCTTTCTTTGCCTTTGTAGGGCCGGTGATAGGAGGTTGGGTGCGTCTCAGCCTGTTCTGCCAAAGCCACTTCCTGGCGGCAGGCGGGGTGGGGTGGGGTGGGGTGGGAGACACCCAACTAGGCACGAGCGGGTTAGAGCCAGAGGTTTGACAGAAGGTGGGTTTCAGGAGGTCATTGAACAACCCCAACACACGCACCCTTTGTTCTGCGCCAGAGCCTGGATGAAGACGACCTTGACTGCTTCCCAGGAACTCACAGTGGGCAGGCGGGGGAGAGAAACAAGACTTTGGATAACAGCTTGGTGACCGCGGTTTGCTCAAAGGTAGTGTTGGAGGCGCCGCAACGAGAGAGGCTGGGGCCTCCCAGATGACGAACAGGAGTTAGTGGGTGGGATGGAAGGAGAAAATGAGGAGTCGAGGGGCCAGCAAGGGTGTCCTGATGTTCTAGGCACGATGGGGGAAGCACAGGCATTTCTCGAATTTGGGAAATCAGCGTTTTCCTGGGAAATCAGGGAGGTACCCTCGTAGGCCTTGCTCTACCTGTTCCAGAAATAATCCAGAGTTCTGTGGGCACATTAAGGATAAAATCCTGAATCCTTACAGCAACTCTTCGAGGGTAGGACTACTTACCTCTGGGTTACAAATGAGGACTCGGAGGCTCGGAAAGGTTAAACCACTTATCCAGGGTCACAACAGCAAATAATAGTGGACGCAGGATTTGAACCCCTGCGACTCCAAGTGGCTCCTTCAGCTATCCTGGGCCCATCTGTGGATCCTTTCATTCAGAGAGGCCTTTGAGCACTCCCCACTCTGCCCCACATGGATTGTGACTCAGATCATTGAATCATGGGCCCAGAACAGGGGATACTGCCCGGGTGACCTGCTTCGAGGCCAGGCTGACTTCCATGAGGCAGGGGCAGGCGGGCAGGGGGGTAGGGTGGTGCTTAGCTGCTATTTTCTACGGCACTGGAGTTCCTCACCTTCCCAAAGGGTGAGGGGAGAAGTGCAGGCAAAATATACCTTTCCACAGCAGTGTTTCCAAAGTGCAGTTACAACCCAGTCATAAAACTAATTTTATGGGTCAAGACCAGAAAATTTTTTTTAAGTTATTTATAGACACATATAAATAACTTAAATATATATAACCAAACTCGCTGCTCATAGCTACCTCTGTTAGTTTCTAAGGCTGTAAATCTTTATGGAAGTAAGAGTGTCCCATCTTCCTTCCTCAGAGTGGCTAGTGGGTTTGAGCCAGCAACCTTCTGGTTAGCAGTCAGATGCCTTAGGCTCCACACCACCACAGCTCCTTTATACATGCCATATAAAGATTTATAGCCTTGAAAACCCATTGGGGTTGCTATGAGTCAGAATCAACCTGATGACGGTGAGTTTAGTTTTT